ACATACAGGCACTGTGTTTCTACTACGACGTATTTACCTACTCTCAGCAACTCAGAACAAAACAAATATGCTTAAGGGAATAGTGGAGGATTTATTTGAGTTGCTGATGACATTTCTATTATATTTATACAAACATATCAATGCTATGCCAACGTGGACACAGTATAATATTTTAACTGGTGTGTTGCATAAACATGAGGAGGTTTATATATATATATGAATCTCCTATCTCGGTATTGTTTTTCTACCTACCCTTTACAAGCATTTAAGTAATGTGCGCAAATAATTTACAAAGCTTGCTTTGCGAGAGGAAATAACTTAAATCGTGACAAAAACAAGTTTTAATGTTTACCTCTGATGATAAACAAGACACTATATTTAAGTATAAATCCAAATAAGTACGTTTAGTTATAAATATACAGAAACGAAACAAGCAAATTACAATGGTATTTCTGTTACTAATAGCACTTGTTTATTTAAATTATTCAGATAATACCCAGTCCTCTGGGATAGACCGGATGTCGAGACTGAAAGTGGATATTCTTAGTATTACATATATACGTATATGCATCTGTTTAGTTGTGTAGTGACTAAACAGATGCACAAATAAAACACTAACAACATACTCGAATGTTTATTACACGATAGTACAGTTTTGTTTAAGATGGTAAGTAATAGATTTCTGGTATTTTAACGATTTAATAAAATTATATAGATATATAAACAATATCTACGCATTATTTAAAAAATTTGGAGTACTTAATGCCATTCAAAAGTAAGTAGTTCAATAAAGAAAAATATAAAGATGATTTAGGTACTATTAACCATTAAAGACATCATACGAAAATATTTTCGTATAGGAAAATACGACAGATCGAAAAATAATTTATAAATAGCAAACTCTTATGTTTATATTGATATCTCCAATTATTTAAAAAATAAAATATAGTCCATGTTACTTGGTAATGTGGATGGATGTTCACCCAAAAACTACTGAACGGATTTTGATAAAACCTTTCAGTAATATGACTTCAGAATAAGACATAGGTTATTTTATAACCTGTGTGAACCTCGCGGTAGAAACCGTGGGTGTAGCTAGTTTATGATAAATTTTTCTCACAATTTATTATTTTCTCCTTCTAGGGGTATTTATTCTAGCTTTCTTTAGCCTGTACGTTGACCTGTTCAACAACATGTTATGTAGTCAATCCAGTCGTTCTTTAGGTGATCATAACGGACATCACGTACAAACGGATAAAATAATAGTTTTAGCTTCTTCACGATTTATGTAAGGACGTAAGATAATATATAGTAGATTTATATTGTATGCAGCTAACAGAAGCAATGTTTTTATAACAACACTTAAGTGATGGCAGGTTCAGTCAAATAACGCTCAATAGTCTGTCAAATATATATAAATAATAACACATCTAACCCCCATATGGAGGAATTCACACTGGCATTCATAAACATTGCAATTTGCGTAGATTGTATCTCAACTCAATATAACCGCGAATATCGACATGAAATGGTATGTAATCTACTGGAATAGAAATAGATGAAATATTTCGATACGTTGTGTTGATGTGCTGAGGTCGTTCAGTGCAATATATAAAAGAAAATATGTAATCATACTGCACTGTAACCAACAGGAAAGGATTGTCTGTAAACCGGACAAGTGGCCTTATTGTATATATATATATATATCTATAATAAGAATAATAATCTTTATTTAATTCAGAAGGATCGTTACAATATTATTTATACAATAGGTACACTTTCTAGACAATATCAATCCTTTCAGTATTTATATGTAGTCCTGGTTTCTGAACTAGAATTAGATGTATGACAGAAGCCAGTTCCTTCCCAATACATGAAGATTGTTGAAAACTATTATAACATGACATATGTATAAACAATATTTTACCTATATCTACATGTTTAAAACTCTAAGTTATAAGAAAAACAAAGATGTTGAAATAAACATAACATTTTGCATTGTGTACTAGTATGATGTATGTATGTATGATGGATATGTAGGTGAGCGTGTATGTACGCATTTGATGTGTGTGTTTGTAATAAAAAAAATTATTTGCAAATTAAACTTTGTGATATTAATAAAGAATATTACTAAACATTTATCAAATTTTGCGTATCATAGTTCTTATACTCTGCACGTTCGATGCCTAAACGGTAGGCATAGCAGTACCTTTAGTACAGCTCTTTGTCGTGTACAAAGAGCTGTTCTAAGTTCTAATTCAAGTTCTAATAAATACGTGTTAGCAGCTGCACCCCACGAACAAATACAGTAGGCAAGTAGACATTCTACTAACGCTTTGTACAGCTGAATAAGTAGTTTATGGTCCGAAAGTATTCGGAGTTCTTTAAATAGATATATAAATTTACGAAATCTTTTGGAAAGAGTGGATATATGTTGTTTCCAATTTAATCTATTATCAATAACTATCCCTAAATATTTTATATTAGATGATCTTTCATATATAGAACAATCACATTATTTGTTTGATGATTTGTATCTATATATATTACTATATTAATTTCTGATGAATTCGCTACGACGAGCTATCTTGATTTAATTTCATTCTTGTATCATCCACTTGTAACATAACATAATTCTATATTGATTGACAAAAAATTCTAGCGCTCGTATGCTTCAACTTATCCATACTACACTACGTAATCTGCACTATGTGTGTACATGTTAACAAACTGTATCTTGCAAGTAAAATTTCATTTGCAATAACATAATTTCTATGTTTACTTAATGCTTTTCAAATATGGTTTCAAACGTTTAAATACTAGGAATTAACCACAAAGGTTCTAAGCATCTCGTGGAGGTTAACCGGAAATAGTACATTGTTAGCAAAAGGGGAGGGGGTTGTTAGTAATGGTATCTCCATTACTAACAACACTATATTTGCGGCGAAGTGAATAAGGTAAACACCCAGAGCGATACAACCAATCATACAAATACAAATGTTAATACTGTGGGAGGAATCGAACCCAAGACCATTGGAAGTAAAGCGATGTGCTAAACCACAATGACCATGGGTAAATATTTATATTTATAAACATGAGTACTTATTATAGTTATGATGTTAAAATAGTGACTTTACATTTTCTCGCAATTAAATATAGACAAAATTTATAATTACGAACAAGTATTTTACGATCGTTGTATGAATTATCCTTTTGGCGAATAAATCGGCTGTTAATTAAAAGCCTACAAAAGGATTCTTTGTTGTGTTCGGTACATTGAACACGCCTCTGCCGCTGAGGCCTGATTTAATACTGAATGATATAAAAATACCTACTCGTATTTACGTACTACAGTAAAGCACATGCGTTTTAAATATACATATCTTCATCATATATAAATATTGCAAATTTAATAACTGTGTTCAACGTTCAATTGGAGTTTGTTTTAAATGCGAATAGGAAGAAACTTTTTTGATATATAAATATAAACTTAATATAAGTACCTTTCATTAGATCTTTTTTTTATTTTAACATACTTACGCAATGGTGACTTCATTACGGAAAGTGGCGAAGAAATTTGTAAGGAAGAATAATAACGAGATCTAAAAGCATTTATTGCTTAAAACATTAAAAATAAAATTTCAAAACTGAATAACTGTCGAATAAAAAAAATTAAAGTTACCTTAATCGCTTAAAAACAAAAAACCGCAAATTCCTTTAAGAGCTACGATGCCACAGACAGACACACGGACACATTAAACTTGTACCACACCTCTTTCTCCGTCAGGGGTTAAAAAGGACGGTAATAGAATAGAAACAATTAAAGCAAATTAAAATGTTGTCGAAACAAAAAAGAGACGTGTCGGTAAGTCGAAATTGAACCGTATGTGCGACGCAGTAATTTAACAAAGGGTTTTAATGGCCCCTTGTATGCACTGCGCCGTATACTTTATCCGGAAACATTTTGTAACTCCAAGGATGTTTGTTTATTGTTTGAGTTTATACTGCGTGTAATATACGAGGGCTTATGTATACAGTAAAAGTTCGAAACTAATATCCAACACTCGTGACGATTAATATAAACTTAGGTACATATAAACAGGTAAACTCTTCAAGTTGCTTTTTGATTTTGTCATAATTGAGTAGAAGATAGAAGTCGAAAGAGACAATTTTAAATAAAACTTAATTAAATTCTAACGATTGTAAATAATTCACTGCCTATTGAAATACCGATTTGAGATAAATTATATAATTAATTTTTAAAAACATTTGATTTCATAATATTAGTACACTTTAATTGTATTGTAAATAAAATACCAATATATTTACATATTATTTAAGGATAGAGATACTGGAGATCACATATTGGTATCAGATAGGTCAATATATTATAGTAATTTCTGGGAGAGAATTCAAAAGATTCCGGAATCCGCGTAAATGTACGCATGAAGAAATGCAACTAAAGATTGAGCGACGCTTAGTATGATACTCATTTCTCTCGTTGGTTACTTATACTACGAGTACATATATATATATATATATATATATGATAATGCTGCATTTAATTTGATGTTCTAAAGTACTTCTTAATTGTTCTTCTTATTAGCTCAAAGTTTTGTTTTTAAAAAACTTATTGATTCGATATTATTAATTAGGTAATTGTTTCTTCTTAAAATAGAACAACACATTATATCAACTATGACTACACAATAGTAGAAAGAAAATCAAATAACTTTCCTTTTTGAAAGATCATATTTTAGTTTAGTATTGTCAAATTTCTAATCTAATCTATAAATTAAGTGCATGATTATTCTAACACTAAATATATCAATATCAATGGAATATTTCATGCATACTCATGACTATACCTGTAGATGGGGAAGTCAGATGCATATCTATATAATTAATTAGCGTTGAGATGAACTCAACTTAATAATATTATTATTATTTTAATACAATGCCGACATTTATAGTAGATATAGTAAAAATAAAGTACTTACAAGTGGGCGAGCTCGTGAGCAATTACGAAGGCACTAGTGAGGCCCTCATCTCGGTTAATAGAAGCAGAACGCATGCTGGTACAAACGCCTCCCACAGGAGCGAAACCCGAGGGCCCACCAAGTGGTACTCGGGTTAACCAGACTGCTACGTCCCAGCCTGTTGTATCTAATTTATATAAAACAAAGTATATTATCACTGTTATGTCAGATGGGGTAGATACAGACATTGTTAACTGTCAACGGAATGAGTGCAAAAATTAACATGCACTCATTTATCTCGGATTTTTTAAATCTATATTTATTTATCAAATGAAAAAATGAATGAATGAGAATATAGCAAATTAAATGATATAAAATGTATACTTGTTTAATTGTTTATTCCTAAACTATTGACCTTTCTCTCAAGATGCAGATTAGTTAATAACATATATTGATGAAAAGTACGAAGAGATACGTCTCACTTTGAACCTTATTAACATGAGCTTGACAACAACAATTTTAAGCAATTACTACTTAATAATGAATTAATTACTTCTATTTATAACTTAAAGTATTTAAATAATTTTATGATTGAATAAATTGCTGTACATGATGTAATTTATGTAAATTAAGCTTATAGCATTAAGTTATTTCAAATGAAAGCTGAAATTTGCTAACTGTACAAGAATAGAGATACTCGTATATTTGTAATAATATTAGTGCTGCCAATAATTAACGTTGATTAATTTTTAAAAGAAATGAGACCAAGATTTGGAATGAAGTATCAAATAACCTGATTAATTTCAGCTATATATAACAGCATTATGCGATGAATTAGATATTAATTAATAAATAATATAACACAGTAACAGTTCATCTGGTTTCTGAGAATTCCTATCTATATTTAGTACTTAGTAGTAATATTAATTAGTAGTAGGTAAACAAACATTCCTGGAAGGCTAAAATTTGGAATATAGATTTTTATGTAACTTAAGAGAAGATTTTTGAAATGATTAACTTAACAACACGACGCGCGACGTTTTCAAAGCTACGGGAGACAGCTGTGTACTAATATATTACTATTATATAAAAATGAATTCTGTTTTGTTATACGCTGTTTATCGCATGACGTAAACATTGGTAGGGTAGACTATTCATTATTCGAAATAATATATCTTTTGTATTGTACCTTACCTAAATGCTGTGTTAAATGTAGACATAAGTGTTATATTTTTGTAAAGTGACGTTATTAAATCTGCATTGTTTATTAAAGTAAACAAGTACCTACATCGTATACGAACTGATACTCGAAACTTCGTCCGCGAATTAGTAATTTTTTTATATAAAAGAATAACATTTATAAAATAAAAGTAGCTTATGTTATTATTTATAACTTTAACTATATGCTATAAGTACCGTCGAAATAGTTCCAGCCGTTTCAGAGATTAGCAAGAATAACCAGACACTTTAATTTCATTTATTTGTATATGGCAGATGTATAAATGTTTACTTTCATAATTATGTTATATGTATTCATTTTTAGTGGATGACTAAAGGTATATGCTGGTGGGGCACCAGTGAAAGACGATGGGATGAAAACAAAGCAAGATCAGTTAGCACATCATGGTAAACTCAATGACGATGATTTCCAACGGGACCAAGTAGAACTTAAACTAAATTTTGAGTACATCACTCCCCCTTCCCCTATACTATCTTATATCGGTTTCCATTAATCTTAATAATAAAATGCTGACTATATAAATTTAATGTGTTTACCCGAAAAACTAGTAAATTAAGCACTCATGTATTATAGTAGATATAGAAATACAACATGTAAATACGTGTACATCTTCACTGTTACCGGTTCTCAACGTACCTTTAGGTAATTTGTTTAAATGTCGGTAATTCCATTTGTTGACTGCCTCCAAAGATTTTTTAACATTTCCATATTTCACTAGTGTGTCCTTATCATCATTCAGAAATAGTTTATTAATAACTAGTGTCATGTTTGAATCTATTGATGGGTCATTGAAGATGGCACTGACCTACAAATCATTACATAAAAATATAGAGCGTACAATATTTTCGCTACGAATAATGCAAGTTCAACCACATCGATAAGGATTACTCAGAAAGAACTGATCAAATCTTAATGAAAGTTATATAATATTAAAATATAGATTATTATTTATTATGATTACATCAAAATTGGTTTTCGTAGTAAATAGTTAAGACGTAACAGAATAAAAAAAATACATAGAAGTTAAATTGAGAATTATATTTTTCTTCATTTTAAAATCTTATTTTTAAGTGAGTTTAAAAAAGCTTGCCTTACGAAAAAAATATGTTATTATGTGGTTATAAAAGACATTCGTCATACTTACGATATTCATTAAAGCTAAAATATAGTGTTCTACTCTTTCTTTACCATGAAACTTTAGCATAGAGTGATCAGCCACTATTGCCATCTCGAGCCACAGTCCTTTCACACCTGCAATATTGATTAACAATTTTATCCATTGATCAATTTTAATAACATTGCAATTCCAGTAACAATGAAATGCGCCGTATCGCACGTTCTTAAACTAACATATTAATTCCATATTTCGTAGTTATTTGAAAGAACTATTATAATTTAATCATGATTATTAAAATTGAATTATATTGAAATCGATATTGAGATTACACTTCAGAGTAAACTTGCAGGTCATCATAAATATTCACCACTTTCGTTACACACCTGAAATGGGTCTTGTGACGGGCTGTATGTCGCGAAAATATTCAGTCTCCGAATCATCACTGTGTCCTATGCTTACATATGGCATGGGGTTATAATTCTCGAACTCAAGTTCAAGTTCAGTGACCGTGTCTCCAGTAAGATTGTACGCCGTCCGCCCCTCGGACGGCAATACATCGCGGCGCCGTAACACATGATTGCTCCCCGGGCTCGTCGGCTGCAGCACGAACGACTCTTTCCCTACTTGCAGTAGTCCGTACAATTGACCTTCGCATTCCGTTACCGTCACCGACGAGTCATCTTCAAACAACACACGGCCTCTATAGAACTTACACTCTTTGTAGTAAGGGGAACGTATGGCCAGATTTTCCTGTAGTTCCAAGTGCCAACCAAAGAGATGGAGATGGCGGGTGGTGGTGTTAGGCCTCAAGTGCGAGCGAGACAGTCGCGCGTGTGGTGGTCGCCAGGCGTGAGCGGCTATTACGAGGAGTAGAGATGCCGGCAACCAGTGCGGCATCGTCCGCGCGCCACCGCGGGCTTTTTGTGTCTGATCGCCGTCAACACACGCCGCAACATGCGCTCACGCATCACACATGGCGACCGTCTCGCCAATGAGAAGGTAAACGACTCCGCTGGGCTAGACTGCGTATGTGTCATTAGTTACATTAGTAAACAAAGGGTGATATTGGCTCTATGTACGTGATAGTACATATTGGTAAATATTGCCCGTATTGCGTGAAGTAATCTTCCTATTTATAGTTAAGATTCATTATAACAATTTTAGAGACATTCATAACTTCTCATATAGTTCGTTTTTACTAATATGTACTATATCTGTCAAATGCAATTGACTACTTTATTGCGCGGCACATTGTTCGTAAATGATAATAATAATGCAGCGTAATAGGATATGTCGTGTTATCAGTATTTCATTGAAGTACAGTCGAAAATTAATTTCTGCATGAATATGAACTTTTAAATAGGTCAATTAATAAATCACGGTCAAGCGGACCAAGTCACGGGTAAAATCTAGTAATAAAATAATTCCCATATCTGTCATGGGAAATTGCTGTAATCGATGGTTTGTCTACCATCTATTGAAGCAACAACACTTTCAAGAAAGAGTCGTAGAAAATATTTAGTTATTAAAATAATATTTAGTGATATTTTCTTAGGGAAGATCGTAAATCTCGAAATGTATATTGAATATTGAATATTAAAACAATCACTGACAAGACAAAGAAAGATGGGCTCCTGACAAATCGACAGTGTAACTCAATATCAAATAATAGACAGTTAACTAGGTTGTTAATTATTATCGACGTAGTTTGGTCATAACACGAATAATATTATGAATGAAGGTATTTACCGCTCTCGATGTTTAGCCTATATTACACTAGCCGTGGTCACCAGCTAACTGGGGTACAGCGATATCAACAGTTTTTTCAACTACCAATACTAGATTGTCCAAAGAAGGATCACGACACATAGCACTCGCGGTATCCGTACAGAAGCTAAGACTCGATTAACTATATTAATACTGTATACTAAACACAATAATTTAAAAAAAGTCGTCGCGTTTCATAAGTAAATAGTATGAATAACTTGCTTGTACCTACTCGTATCTACCACGAGTATATCTATACTCTTAAGGACACACTTAATGTAGCGTTTTAGCAAAGTGGAACATGAACAAAGAAACATATATTAAACGCGACTTCGTTCATCTGAAATTAATCTTTTTTTATCACAATATTGAAAGTGTTCAAAATAGTTTAATGAAAATAGTTTAAAGTATACCCCCCTTGTAACATTAGATATTTACGAGTGTAGTCTCGTCAAAATCTGTCCAGACATTCAGATTTAAAGCTACGATATGGTACGACAGAACTCTGATGAAATTGTTCGTAAATTCGTTCATAGTGCAGATAAAAAAGTATTCCTTTTATGTAATTTTAATGGCAAACAAGCTACGAGCACGATCTACCTGAAGTGGTAACTGTTATTATACGAGTCCCCTCAAGTGTTGCTATTCCGGAGGATAAATGCCCCCGTACCATGTAATTTGACACACATCTCACGTTTTAACCGTTACACAGTTTACAAAGTAAGCAGGCAGGTGAAATACTGTGGCACATGGTAGGCAGACGACCTTAACAAAACCTACTTCGGTAAATTAAACCATCCTTGCTAGTCTCTACCAAACAACAATATTATTTGCTATTAAGATTGCCTTATGTCCGAGGTCCAATTGACAGTAACAAATGAATGATATTTAATTTAAAATAATGTATAGACATTCAGTGTCTAATTATTGTAATACACTATACAACAACCGATAAATACCCAATGGTGTAATAAAATAGCCAAATATCATTTTTGTTGCAACTGTACTTTGTTATCAGTAAAATAATTGCAGCAATATGAATGAGTTTTATGCGCGAAATATCATTATTTTGTATTATTGTGTTGCATTATTTTATGTCTACAGAATTCTGTGATACTTCTGTCTTTTTATAAAATAGTAGTTGTTTCCGCATCCTCGCCAACATTTAATTTTATATCATAGATCCTTGAAGGTACTCGAATTGATGAAATATTTTTGGCATGCCAGAAGTAGTTTTGAAGAAATTTCACCTCCTACATCTAAACTTATAAACTTAACCTCTTTCTTATATTAGAATAGACATATTTTCAGTGAATCTATCTGTAGTAAACACCATTTATTTAATGTAGTAAAGATTTAATAAAGTTATATTTTTTTATTACACGTCACTACGTATAATCACAGATAACATAATTACATAGTATAATTTATAACAAACAAGCTTCCCGGTTTCGCTCGGGTGTACATGTATTACATATATAAACCTTCCTCTTGAATCAATCTATCTATTAAAAAAACCGCTTTAAAATCCGTTGCGTAGTTTTAAAGATTTAAGTATACATAGGGACAGACAGCGACAGCGACTTCATTTTATACTATGTAATGATGTATTTGAATTTGGAATAATTTCTGGATAAGTTTAGACTATACTTACATATATAAGTTAAGACCGCTTTGGCCCCGTGGAATTCAATAGTTTCACATTATAATTTTAATCTGAGTAAGGATCTGAGGAAAATCTGAGTAATAACATTTAATAGGTACATCTAATGCTTTATATAAGACAAAAATTAATAAGTACCTCTAATTCTCTATATAAAATTGAAGGAAATGTATACCACAGAATATCTATATAACACAAGTTATTTAGGTTATTCATCAATCAGTAAGACGGTATAGTTTTTTATTAAATACTTGCTGACCCTTGTCCTTTAGTATAGTCCTTAATTTTATGAATGTGTCCTTAGTGAATATGCTAAATACAATAATGCGCTGTGAAAGGCGCGAAATAAAGCAGTCGTTAAGTTTCCTGAATTTTTTCAAATACCTACCACACAATTTTCTTAGTTCTTCCTTCCGTATGAACGCTCTAAAGTATTAGACAAGTATAAACAATAATATGAAGTCGTTTTCCAGATCAACGACTATTCACACAGCGCCTTCTATTCTCATACTGAGCAGAGCTTATGTTATATATGGTACTAGAAAATTGATACAAATATATAGAATTGTTTTTTATAAATTAATATATAATATACATAGAATTACCCAGCTTACTCAAACAATACTATATGAATACAAATGTTTGTATCGTGCGAGGATCCAACCCGCGACCATCGTATGTAAGGAGATGTGCCCAACCGTTGCACTACCGAGGCCATCATTATACATAATATTAGCCTGAATTATGGGTAAATGAATATTTTAATTCCACTACATAACACGCAATATAAAGGAATAAAAAGAAAATTGTTTCTAACTTTATTGATTCAAAATATGTGATTATATTATTTGATGTTTATAATTTTCTTCATTGTTTCTACAAAATATCAAATTATTAGTGACTGTTGTATGTTCTGCATTCAACTAGAAATCTGTTTGTTTTCTTTATGGAGAAATCAATGTCCTCTTATTTCTTGCATGGCTGTTTATAGTATTTGCATAATCATCGATACCTTTCTTTAAATTATCATCTACGTGACCTCTATGTAGAAAATATGATAGGTTAGGATCCGGTGCAGTATTGACAGCGCGAATCGGTGCTTTCACAAGTGACGAATCTCCAGAATATCCATCTTTGAACACCAACGTCAATAAAACAGCTTCATCCGTTGGTTTTCCTAGTCCGTGGTAAATGTAGTCCCGCAAATTTCTAGACAGATACATGCCCACATTGCCAACTTTACTGTAACCGGTTTTCTTAAAGCCTTCTAAAGCAAATTCGGGATGACTTTTCAGTTGGTTGGTCAAGAATTGCGTCTCAGCCACTTTAACTGACAATTTTTTTAAGGGACCTGCAGAGTTTTCCAAATTCTGTAATTAAAAAAAATTAAAAGTTTTTAAAAGATATAAAAATACATTTCTGATCTTTCTAGAAATACATTTATGATTTGATTTGCAAAATTTAGTATTTATTTTAGTCAGAGGACATAGGCAACCTTTTTAATATTATAAAATCCACGCCATGACTATAATTCTTTTATATCTATAATTTTGTTGCGTATGGGTTAACTTCTTTATGAATCACATAATTTTTAAATAGTTACTTACTTTGTAAATAAGTAACAAGTAAGAACAGTTAATAAATGTATAATAAAAGAATAAACAATATATAGGGACAATAAAAAAAACTATGTAAACAGTAATAATTAGCAAGATATCAGTATTTAATAACAGCATTAACAAATTTTTATTAGAGTATACATATTCAAAATTGGGAATGTCTATATGCCTAAGACTTAAAAAAATACATATATAAATGTTTTTGAATAAAATTATTACTAAATAGAATAGTTTTAGAATAATTGTATCATAATAATGGTTCCTTATTATATCATATTTTGCTGGAAATAGAAATTTATTCTTATTCCTAAGATATTCTGTCCTATAATATGAAATATCATGTAACATTAATTTAAATACATTAGGTGTCTGTTTATCCATCAATTTATTACCTTCTTAGGACTAATTGACTGTTCTTAAAGAAAGCTTGAAGATAGGTTGTATCACGAGGATAGACATAAATAGGCTACCTAAGTCGCCGAAAGAAGCCAGATAGAAATACATAAACTTACTTTACCTTTAATAATACTATAATAATTATAATTTATTTATTTCTCGTAAATATGGATGGCAACAAATATATATTTTAGGATAACACAATGTTAAAAACAATTGCTGTAATAAGCCGGTGTCTGAAATAGAAATAACCTGTAATAAAGATCACCAGGTCTTTATTACAGGTTATTCGCAATCAAATACATGTGATATAATATATACTATTTTAAATAATATTGAAATTTAAAATACAGTATAAATATACTGTATTTTAAATGAACCGATGAAGCATTACTACCGGAAGAAATGTTTACAACTGATATAAGTGAGGTTATCCTGTTGGATGAGTGACTGCGTGTACATGAGACATGTTATCTTAATCGCTTCCGTGATCCGGATGGCTGTTTATCCTTCAATCCCAATATAACGATCGTCAATTTAGGCTTTTTAACGACCTATAAACTCTGGCAGCTGGTTAGGCTATTACCAAACATGGGAAAGTATATTAGTACAATATTTTTTTTACACAGATGGTTAATAATATTTAAGAGATATCTTGATTCGTTGCAACATACATTTGAAAGTTTGATTTTTACCCCTGAATATAGAAAATATATGTCTTAAATATTTTAAGATAGAGGAAGACATTGCAAAAAAGAAGTCAGCGTGGGTACTGTGTAGGTGAGTCTGATCTCACCAAGTTTTTTAGCCGCCAAGTTTTTTAAGCTGTGTTTCAGTCGTAGGAGGAGATTGGCAAGTTAAATTGCAGTATTAGAGGCATGACAACTTAGTCCACTGGAATGGATAACGTGCGTTAATGAACAAAAGCGAAGGGCTAACTACCAGGTGGGTCCGTCATATCACAAAAAAGACAGAGATTTGACAGAGTATCATATTATAATCTTGTCCACGAAAACCGTATTTCCATCTTGAAACTGAATTTCTTTTCTAGCAACAACTAAAATTTCAAATCCAGACAGACCAAGCAACACTTATCACTAATAAATTAAAATTAGGTAACTATACTCACTTGAAGATTGGCAAGGGTGATTAAATACCCCATCACATTCATCTTGAAGTATTTCGATGCTAGCAGTTGTGTGTTCACTTCATGCGCTTGCCCAAGTTTGAGCTTCACATACCTTACTCAGTATTTATAAATTAGTATTCGGACTTGACAGCGCTGACTAATTCAAGTCGGCAGATAAATTTGAAATGTATTGTGCAAATGTTAATATGTACGGACAATCGATCGCTATTTACATAATAATATGCCTAAATGTTGTTACATGTGTTTACCACGATGCTGTACGTTACTTCCTTTGACGATGACACTTAAATGGTTTATATGGACAGACAAAGCGTGTGATGTGATGTTTACAACGCTATTAATGTAACTAATTGATTTCTTTGTAAACTCATTTAAACTGACACAATGGCTAATTTTGACGAAATCTCAGCAGAACTGTCAGTGCGCTGTACGAAGTCTTTACCAACTGAAACAACAAATTACGCAGTATTCATCTTAAAATAGGAAATATGTCATTTTAAGACTTGTCAATACTAGCTGAGCCCGCGACTTCATACAACGTAACTTTTTTCATTGTAAAACTATCGGAATAAAGTAAACGTAAAATTTAAAGTGATACTTACCATAGTGGTATACATACAGTGAAATACGTACACGAATCGGTTGAGCCGTTCCTGATATTAGCGCGTATAAAAGTCAAAACAATTAGACAAAATTTCTAACAATAGTTGATTTTGGTTTGGCCATTGCGTTGTTAAAATTTCTTAACAATATGTTATTCTCATATATCTTCCATGTACAGACAGCAATCAGTTACATTTTTATTATATGCAAAGATACTCGCATATACGAAACTGAGTAATTGTAACGACGATGATCAATGACATTAATAAAAAAAAACTTTATACGAACAGTGCGGTACGTGATATATTTATTAAAGGTACCTAAAGACACATATTTTCTGTTTGAAATTTTATTATGAATACCAATACAGAATTTTGGATTATTGCATCCAGCGTTTACATTTCCAAATATCCAAGTACACATATCCATATTAATTAAAAAGAGTTTATTTAGGTGCCATTCGGTAAAAGGTGATAAAAACACACAAAAGCTTTTAAATGGGAATTAGTGCGTAAATCTCTTTTCCTTTTCTACTTTTCCGATTTCTGTTTAATGTGGCGAATCCTTAAGAGGTGGCCTAAGAGCCATTATAAAAGCTTTCTTTAGTTGCTTAACTGCATTTGCGAATAAAATTACGCAAAATCTATTTTCACTTCCTTATGCTTAGGTATAGGTACAAATTTTCTAAAATCATAAACATATTAATCTTCACTATAATCCTAAATGGGACAGTCAGAGGCATTATAAAATGTAAGTGTTATAGCGCTTACAGCAGACAGGCAAACATTTCAATGGAATTTCCTGATAGTTCAGATGTTAATATAAATGAATAATCTCTAAGATACGGGTAACTTACAGAAGTGTATGATTGAAGTGACAGATTGTACATCCCTCCAGCAGAAAATATTAAAGGTATATTCGCACGCCCAATTATCAGAAGTAGACTTGAACGGACTGTAGGAATTATGGAAGCGCCTTGCTCCCACCCGGAACAATATACTGCCTCACCAATATTTTGACTCTAAAAGAGACATTTCGCTATTGTTAAAGAAAGAAGAGAGGAGATGAAGTGTTGTATCTCGTGACTCGATCCCAGTCAACGTGACAAGTAAATCCAGGAAAATGTGGACAATGTGGAAATATCAAATGTTGAGTTCCCAATGACGTTTAATATTAACAATGTCTCTGAATACCCTATTTGGAATAATAGTCGTTATGTATTATTTTAAAAATTATAACGCAAGATATAATACTAATAGACTCTACTGACGCTGAAAAGAAAAAGGATTTCAAAATTTGCTTCGTGGCGATTTATTTCCAATTCCTTCTGTATTCTATTCATTAGAAAACCTGTACTAGAAGCAGTGGTTAGAATTATTTTTTCATATGGTTTCTGAATATTTCTTTTCTGATCATAGATCGAATAATCACAAATTCCTTTATGCCGGTGGTGATTACCTCAGTTATTCATAATATATTTATGTTACAAATATTATAACTATATATATGTGTAAATGACATAACATGTAATAACCACATTGTCCTTGTAATATTCCAAACAGTAGACTATGATTGAAATCAAACTTTGATTGTCTTGTTATTAGCAGATCCTTAGTTGATTCCCGTTTAAATACAGACTTCAAACTAAATAATTTATTTTGAAGATTGCAAACGCCAGCTGTACATAGTTATCCAATTAATCTTTCAACTCAAGTTCTGTAACGAGATATTCCAGGATAGCGCTTGCTTGTGTGTTCATGTGTGAAGTGATTGCTAAGGATTTAGTTGACCAATTACATAAATGGTTTGGATTAGTTATAACATTGAGGTATATAATGTAATTATAATTTAATACTTTCTCTGGTGACATATCTACTATTTTTCATCCCTGGAATGACCATATCATACCAGACCATACTCAGCAGTTGTACAAAAACGAATTTATGGGGTCACAACATTATGATAATGATGATGACGATGGTGGTGGTAATGATGATGATAGTGATAATACAACTGACAATTAAAAAATGCTTGAATTTTACTTAATAAAAAAAACTAAGAAGCATATTCCAAGCCACCACATCGAAGATTAAATAAATTAACAAACCTGTGTAGTGATTTCTTCAGACCAACGACAAATAATGTAGAATGCGAAGAGATTGTATCCCAAGTACAAAATACTGGTGAGACCCTGGATTAAACTGGCTGAAGCTATCTATTAAGTCAGATTATTAGGTTATTATATAACATTGAGTTTTTTATAACTATAATTTAATAACTACGCATAAGCAGTGATAGTGTTCTAAATAGCGTTATGGGTACTTAGATATTTATTTTTATAAATACATACATTTGTTAATATATACATATAAAACACCCAGACCAATACAAACAATCATACTCATGAATACAAATGTTGGAACCCTGTTAAGAATCGAACCCACGACGATTGAAAATCAGGTAGCGCTCTAAACTGCTAGACCACCGAGGCCGTCAGATTTTGTATTTTATTTTTATTAATCAGGCGATATCATTATAGAAGCTGTACGAAAACAAATAAATCGTATGTTTTGGAAAGAATGTAACCGAAACTCGTTCATGGCTTATTCGTTTGGCCCATTATATGTGTAACACATATTATGCAATACATTTCAGAGTTATAAATACAAAATACGCGTAGAAACGAGTCTATAGATTAGTAAACTAATAAATTAACGTCGCTTTGGTCCAACATTTTTAATAAATAATATATAGGTGAATATAATAGAATTGAGTATCTCCTTCTTTTGGTTGTAGGTTGAAAATCAGTAATAGGATTTGCATCACTCACCGTAGTTGCCTGATAACCGACGAAACAAATAAGTATCCCACTTGCGACCAACTGCGCTAACATAGGACCGCTTAGTGTATGTCGAAGTTTCATAGCCAAGCTGTAGGAAGATTAAAATAAAACACTAACTTCTTCGTTAGTACTCTGCGTAACGAACCTACTCGTCTATACATGTATTGCAGGGAGTTAATGGATACTGCCTATAGCATTTATATATAAGTTCGTTATCTAGTGGCTTGGGTACAGGTGACTTAGCTCAGAGCCTTTACTTAATATTACATGAGATCGTCTTTATACATCTATATTCATTTTTTTATCGGAGTATACTATTACAGTTGGCAATGATCAAATTTTGCGAGTCAGAGGTCAACCTACACCCCTTCTGCCTGACGCACACGTCATTTTATCTGATGGCACCCTAGGCTAGGGGTTCGAAGCTCGCCTGATGTCATAGTGGTTTGGCTCCCAGTCGGAATGGAATAGAGGATTGGTTAGTTAGTTAGTTAGTGAACAAAGAATAGCTAACAAACTTATACATGGTAATTAAGTAGATAAATATAGATAATTACTTAAGTAACTTAAAACTTTATTAAATATTATATTGTTTCTTGTAATTACAGAATTGTTTCTCAATTCGAGCACGATATGTTCGATTTTTCTTTCTTACCTATACACCTACTTAGTATGTTAGCATCATATATATTTTCATTAGTTCCTTTGTAGGTATTTATTCATTTTCAATACATGGAACTCATATATTTGTATACAGGAATTATATGTTTCCAAAGTATATGGAACCTCTAATGTATATTATTAATGAGTGAATTCAGTACATCATTTTGATTAACATAGCGACAGCTTAATAATACGGGTATTAAGTACATTAATTAAATTTACTTAGATACACATACCTCAGTAAGCTTCGATGCTGCTCAACCAAATCCCTTAGTCTCTTTACATACGTTTCCTTGAATTTATCGGTAATTAAGAGGTTGTTGTTATACTCAAAGACTGTAATTAAATATATTAGGAATAAACAAAGTATTAGATCAGAATGCAGCCCTTCTGATATTAGACTTTTTTATGTATTCGAAATGGTAAACAAGGCGACAGCTCACCTGATGGTAGGTGGTAACCGTCGTCTATATACATAAACAGTACTAGGGATATCACGTTATCATATGACTCCTGTAATTGACAAAGATGTCTTGCCTATAATTTTACTGCCTAGTCTCGCCCTACAACCTAAACACAGCTTACAAAGTATGGCGGCTTAAATATTTAAGACTGATGTACCTACGCAGACGACATTTTACAAAATCCATCTCGGATAAGAATAAGGCTACCTAGTGTTATTTTATATAATCTTTACAGACTATATATACATATATAGTTTCGCGTTTATGAGTATGAATATAGAATAAAATAGAAAAATATTTTTAATAAATAAACTTGAATTAATGCTCTTTTGAATACTTATTTTCTTAAATCTACCGCTCAATTAAATAGCTGTCTAAACACAAGAAGAACGAGCAAGCTACTTGCGTGTTGTTCTTTTAAACAATTCTTGTAGCTTTAATTTTTAAGTTGTAATATGTGAATACTAACTACCATCTAGCAGTAATTCATTAGAGACAACAATAATTACATAATGGACTAGTTAAGTAACAGTCCCTACAATCAGCACACAACCGTCATAGTAAACGAGTGAGATGAGGACAGAGTATAGTACATACCGTCGGATCCTTGACAATCATAAATAATATTTTTAAAACAGTCCACAAGTACATTGAACTGGCAGACCAGGTGGATGAGGTGAGCTTGCATGATCAGATCATTCAACATGACGTAATATGAAGCGTATGTGAATGGCACTATAACCATGAGGTAAGCTATGGTGTAGCGGTACGTAGTATCATATGAGAACGGAACGTAAATACTTCCTATTACATTATGCTCCACTCCATCTATTAACGGATTTATGAACCTGAAATTACCAACTTATATTTAGGTATTCGCTCCGACTTCGCACTAGCTCTCTAACTTTAGCAAGAGGAAGGTTTATGTATATAATACATGTACAACCATGTATTATACATTTAAACATAACTCTTGAATCTCTCTTTCAATGCTAAAAGCTGCATTAAAGTCTGTTGCTTAGTTTGAATTAATTAGTTTTGATCTAAGCGAACAGATAGCGGAAGCAACTTCATTTTGTATGTAAAGATTACATTAGTATTTATATCCCCACCTTATTTCACACAGTAGTGGGTTCGATTCTTCGCACAATATAAATATAGACTGACCTCAAATGAACGGTATTAGAAAAAAGCAGATGATCATGTTTTTTTGTGTTGTGGGAGTTTAAATATTATATACAAAGTACGGATTTGAGTATTTCACACAAATAATATATACATTACTCAATCAAATCAATATAAACATTACATTTATGAATATTTTTATCATGCGAGAATGGTACCAGCCACCATCAAAAACAGCACAATGTCTAAACTGATAGATTACCGAAGTCAAAGAGTAAAGTAAGTATACCAGAGGACTGAGTCCTTCCTTGTGTAAGTAGTATATATTATAAATAAGTACATACCAAGCTGCAAGTGTACTGTTTCCTATAATGAGGAGTGTTTTTAGATATTTTTCATTCTGTTGTGCCCAAAACTTTGTTATTTTCTTTCTTTTAAAGGTAGAAATATCGAAGTACGGTGACTCCATGGCCTGTGCAAGTTTCTTGTATACATCTTTATAAACAGCCTATAAAACAGTATATAAGATACAGGTATGAGTAAAATCTTGAAAGCTCATATTGCTACTTAAATAAATCTCAAGCTAATTTTGTGGTGCCGCAAAATTATGTGCTATATATATATTGCTAAAGAGACATGATCTCAATGATACTGTAGACTATCCTGTAAAGGAGCAAAGTTCACCATTTCATAATGTAAATTATATTTAAAAGGTTACACAAAACTAACGATTATTATTTTATTTGTATCGATTGCGTATCCGGTTTATACAAGGAACACAAAAGGCGTGTACATGAGTGGTATATCCCTAAGAAGATTGTTATATTTTATGAATTACTGAAACAAAAACACAATTAAATTATATTTGTTTTTCCGTTGTACTTTATCTGTCGGTTTGGATATTAAAATGTTATTACATTATTATTATTGCACCCATAAGATATTATACCCCAGGCCTATCTTAAATTCTGCACAGCGGTACAGAAGTTGGTTAACGCAATAACTCAGTTTTTTTTATTGTTCACAAGATACCTCAACAATAACTATCCTTTTCTAAAACTCTTTAAATAATAGGCATTATGTCCGTCATGCATACAATTTTGTGTGCAAAAGAATAAATGAATAACATATATACAGGGCTAATGAAAACATGTTTACATATACTTGTCGCTATTCAGCATTTAAAAACTCTTACTAAAAATTACTCTGACCATAATAAAATATTTTTTGATATGACAAAATTGGAAACATCATTTCACAATATCATCATTCTTCACAATTAATTAATTATACGGTATCTTAAAATTTCTTGTTATCATTTTATAAGCAGTAACTAAATGAATATTGATAATTGCAAGTGGAGGAGTCGTATCCCCTTTAAGTCGTTATCCGGCCCTATAAACTATTACGGGCTTTATTGATCATATTCACTTTTAAATATTTAAATAAGAATATTTACTCAAGCATATTTACAAGAATATAAAACAGTCGTTTTATAATTTAAATACTGCTGGCAGTATGTCAATAAAAGAAATTTATTTACACATAAAACAAACTGGGGAAATCAGCATCATATTATTGCTAAGTAATAATAACACCAAAAGTCATAATATTCATCCCCACGTACATAATCCATAAAAAGGTAACGAGCGATAAAAGCGCTAACGTTGAATTTGAAACACAATCTGAAATTAGAATACATGTTGAGAGATTTTAAGCTGCGTCATTGTACCTCCATAAGTAAGTTTACTCGTTAAAAATCGACATTTCTTTTTAATGGCAGGATTTTTCCTTAATTATCATTTTCCTCATAATTATTTTTTATTCTTCGCTATGGTCAATGGTATTAATGAAGAGAAAATTAAATTTAATACTGGACTGTCTGGAACAATACAAACAATTCTACTTATTAATACAAATGTTTGTATTGTGCGAGGAGTCAAACCCGCGACCATAGAGATTAAAGTGATGTGCTATTTTGTTAGACTACCGTAGCCGTGAAACATAGACATTGATAACTGACCTCAATATAAAAACAGAGTTCACAGAATTTACATTTTGCGTATATTGCTGGCACCATTTTCTATCGATAGCATTGTCAATGTACCATTATATGTACTTTATATTATGCCGTAAAAATAGAATATTAAAAATAACATAATGTTGACTTTTGTTTATTTTAATTTACAGATATCGTTTTCGTTACACCAGAACAGCATAAACTATTTAATGAATATATTTACCATATTCACGAATCTATAGCATGTCATACAATGTATGACTGTTATATTGATGGATCCTGCTAATTCATCCAAAGTTGTTGTCAATGTAAACATGTACCAGAATTCAGATAACACCACCAAGCATACTGATATCTTAACTATTGAACTATATATCAGGTAGGGCCAGTCATCGTCAGATGTTGAAAACCCTGGAAATTAAACATAATGGAAATTGGATGATTGATGAAATCAAAATCGGTATTCTACATACAAGTACGCAAGCTGCTTAGCGGTAGAAGTATAATATTAAAGTGATTTTTTAATTTTCATCATAATCAGGCCAGAAGTTTTTATGTAAAATACTAAAATTACTGTGTAATGTATAAACACGATTTGAAACAGAAGATATAAGTTGAATAAAGAAGAAATTTCTCTTTTTTATTTATATATTTGTCTGTACATGACATAGTTAATTTTCAATGTATCTTCAAGTTTTCTTATTATTTATTTAAGATTTTAACATCATTAAATTTCTATGTACTTACAAAAATAAACGTTAAAATATTGAAAAAAAAATACATGATTTATATTCATTTCATATTTGTAATAATCTGTTGTATTGTAATTTCACCTATAAGAAACACAAGGATCCCCAAAAACGAATATATTCTATAACTAGTTGAAAAACGTAACTTCGTCTATATCACACTTACTTGGCATTAATCTTATATTATATTTCGACCAATTTACATAATATTTTTTTAAATATTATTCTAATATATAAGCTACATTACTGTAAAATTTCATTACAATCCGTTCAGTAGTTTTTGCGTGAAAGAGTAACAAACATCCATCCATCGAAGCTCACAAACTTATGCGTTTATAATCTTAGTAAGACCATGATTACAGTTTAAAATTTTGAATAACATTCAATAAGTACTATATTAATATCCTATAGAACTTCCCGATCATAAATAATACGAGACAAAACAATGGAAACCAATTTGCCGCGCCCGTCTCGAAATACGCTTGTAGTTCGTTCATTGTGTTATGGACAAGCAATATCATAATCTTAGCCGCAAATTACATCAACCAATCTGTTATACACCATACTCCAAACATGCATGTGGGTGACATGAATACAAATAACTCAAATTTACATTATTTATTACGGGTACAAATGCACTGTAATGACACACCTATTACATTAGTCCAATTGTTAGCAATATACCTAGCATATTCGGTCGACCTCCACACTGTACCCCCTAGAAAACTAGTGGATAATTCTTGGTAAATTTTTCATCTAACCGTATTGATTTCATCCTCATCCTATACCTAATCCTCTATTGATGCCATGTTGCGTTACCGTTAATTCAGGGTATTCATATAATAATCAAAAGAAAATCTCAATTTGACAAAGTAATAATGATTATAAAATTTACTTTTGCTAGAAAATGGATATTATTTAATAATATAGTAAAAACTGACAGATATTATTTATTGACCGTTAGTTGGAAAAATAACGCTCATATACGACATACAATAATTACTCTTCTGTTGTGTATGTATGTACCTATATAATGTATGAATATATCTGTCTGTCTGTTTATTATCTTTATACGACTAAAATATTGAACGGATCTTTATGAAGAACGAGATTGTATGATAAGGTTGGACATAGACTATAAGAAAGGCAGACGAAGTGGCGATAAACAACTAGTTCACAATCAATCTCTTGAGAAGTTGAGGTTAACAACATGCTTATGGTACATTAATCATTTACTAATTAGATAGATAGAATATATTTTATGTACAATATACAGAAGAAAAGAGATAAATAATAAATTTATATTAATTTACACATGTATAATTAATTATAATAAGCTGGCTTTATTGCTGAAAATAATCTTTTCATTTACTTATTAGTGCAATAGTTAATGTTAAATCAGTAGTATGATTTAATGTTAAGCAAATTGACTCCTTAAATGTTGAATTGCAACCCTTTAATTTAAGCATGCTTTATTAGCGCAGATTATTACTGCAGATTTAAGACAAATTGGATGATGCACACGGTGCTTTACCAACCATAGATCATAACTTCGTAAATCCAATATTTCGTTGATGACTTCATACGTGTTGTGTTGTTTGAAGATTTATTTATATCCACTTCTTCAATTTCTTAACATTCTTAATATTTTTTAGAAACAGTTCAAAATAAAATGGTAACATGCACAGCATCGCAACTCAAGACGGAATTGATAAAAACAATATAATACTACATACATAATATACATAGAAAACACTTATACCGATACAAACAATCATACTCATAAATACAAATGTTTCCACCGTGAGAGGAATCGAACCATCGACTGTCTTATATAAAGCGGTGTGCTAAACCGCTAGACCACCGAGGCTATCAAAGTTGAAAACTATTATTCTTGGATAGGGCGAATTACGATGGTTTACATTGCTAGCAATTGGGACACTAACCTTCTTATTAATGTGGTAAAGTCACGGTAAAATCAATTAGATTTATAACCATGTTTACTATCGGAACATTAGGGATTAAATTGAGATAGGTACTAGTTTTAGTGTCGACAAGATTTGAGGTCGCGATCATTGGAAATCTTAGTAAAGTGATTCACGCAACTTCCTTTTAATTTTCCGTAGCAACGTGAACATTATTTATTACTGGCTATATATTGCGGTATCATCCGAGTGGAACTATTAAATTCTTGTTTCTATGGAAATGTTTAGGAAATATTTTCTTAGAGTGAGTAGACTCTAGAAATTTTAAGAAATCTGAACGAAAAATATAAAGAAGCGTAAAGTGGTAACTTGATAAGGATGAATTTTATGGAAGTTCCCAATATAAAGCAAACCCTACATTATAATAAAATATTTTTCATTATATTGGTTTAGTTATGTTATGTATTTATATTTGTAAACTGATTACTATATTATAATAACATGTACATACTATACTAACTACTTAATTCATAGATTTATTAATAAAAAAATACCCGAAGTCGAACCTTATTTTTTAGGCTGTTGATTCAATATAAATAAATATGACATTACAATTTGGTAAAATTGTTACCTTTAAGGGCATTAAATAAAATTAGAGGATAAAAATTAGCAAGAATGGTGAAACTTTTCTCTTTGGATTTTTGCATAGAGTAAGGTTTTGGTTAGAGTATTAAATATTTTTTCTTTATATGGTTAAGGTCACTATTCCACGCGAACAAGGCCACGAGAACAACTGGTGGGGGCTGAAATTTGAAATAAGAGAGGTTAAGATATCTACGCAGACAACTTCATACGACGGTCCGAAGTCGAAAGCACAACTAGTGTTGTAATATAAATACTATAAGTTCAAATTTTATGACTAATGAATCAAGGTTCATAACATCTGCTTCGATCACATTCACTAGCATAACCACTGGGTTAAAATAAACGTACCTTACCGCAGAGTGTGTACACAGCCAACGAAGCAAGATAAGTACCTATTCAATTCAATATATTGCCCGCGATAATGAAGTGTACTCAAAATTACTTCATAGAAGATCAATTACTCGTTAATTCTCCAAATTCATGTATGTATACAGGCTTGGTGAATGAACTGTAGTCCACTGACCTTTACCGGTAGATTACCATAACGTACCTAATATGAAGTGCTATCGCTAATTTATAAATTACAGCTAACAAGAAATACTTATTAATTATATTACTCATGGAATTAATCTGCTTACTTGACCTAGTTTAATTTAATATTATGTCCATAATAATACACACATTTTTAGTAAAATCAAAATCAAAAATCTTTAATGTAGGATATTTTAGCGCTATGAACGTTAATTTTTTCAGTTTAATATTTTTTCCATATAGTCATCAATTGAGAAGAACTAGCAAGAAACTTAACTTCATTTGCTTTTTTAAAAGCCAGTTAATGTACATATAGGATTATATGAGTGTCTATGTCTAACATTAAATATAAATCCCGTGCCTGGACAACTTTTACCATACACGTCATTTAAATAATTGTTTAATGAGTAACAAGTAGGCTTTGCTCAATAAATATGGTTTAACAGATGTTTTAAATTTATTTAGAGGCAATTCTAGTCAATTGTTTAGTATCTTATTATAAAATTATATACCCATTCCCATAAATAACCCATTGATTTTTGCACTTGACGGTCCACCCGATGACCAGTGATAACTGTCGTAATAATGGAGATTAGTGCATTGATAATGATGATTGATAATGATGTGTGTTATAGTACGTCGTCATAATGAGCAAAGGACTTAACGTCAAGCTCATCCCATTATCCCTGTCATGTCTCTGGTGGCCCGCCTGCTTATACCGTTAGCGAGGAATGAGGGTGAAGTTTTTTCCATTATTATTCAAGCAAAAAAGGGAGGGAAATGTAGAGACCCATTTGAAAGCAGAAGCAAATTTTCTCTTGACGCTTCTTGTTGTATTCCAAAGCAAAGATACGTTAATTTTGTCTCTCGTTTAATAATGTCCATAATTTGTAATGCGCTATCCAACATTAAAAAAATCTAAATTAGTCCTACATGTGGTCCTACCGAAGATTACTCCAAACTTCCAAGCTCACAAACTTTACCTCAAGCGTATCACAAATACTAATTGAAACAAAAGCAAATACAGTAAGTACCTACCTACAAGGTATGTTACTCTGTAAACAGATTCAAAGAAAGCTGTTTCCAATTCTCCACTTGATTTTTCTATGGCTTTAGTTTGTGATATCTTCCGCCATAGGTAGTCGAAGACCGTCATTTTTCCATTTGACTAAGTGGTAAAATGATCGTGCGATCCAACTGATCGCTAATATAAGATTCTATGTAATTAATTAAATATTTAATCAAATAACGGTCCGTTTCCATAGCTCTATAACGATGTTTAATTATACGGCAATCGACTATTTGACGGCCTGCAAAAATAGACATCGCTTACACGCTTCGCATGTTTCTTTAAAGAAAACATATAAATAACAAATTTCTTAATTACCTGTAGATCAGAGGAACTTAATAATTAATTAATAATTTAGTAAAAATATGTATATACTCGAATAAAACTAGGTGTTACCAACGACTACGTCTGCTTAGATAAAATATGGCGTATGGTATTTCTTGTACTCTTTTAATCCGTTTAGTCGGGAAAAGACACAATTTTATAATATTAGTACGGATGTGATTAAATGTACTTATAATTTCGGATTCAGGTCATATTAGTAGTAAATCCTATGCTTGCAGATATCAAGACATTTGTATAATAATAATATACTGTCAGGTCTATTACACGTGTTAGTCAGTCAGACGCCTTCTTAACTATTCACGTCATAGTAAACGCAACACTCGACATGCCCATATTGAATCATATATTTCAATTAAATTTGGCAGAGTTGAGACTACCTCTCAAATTAGTTTGCTTTGTTATCAATCTATACATCACCAAAAGTGAGTCAGAAACTATGAATTGACACACAAAATCCATTTATTGTTTCTGACGGCCCGGTTATCTAGCGGTTTAACACACGACTTACTCGTATTGCGTCACGGGTTCAATTCCTCGCATCATGCTGTATTTATAAGTATGATTGTATCAATCTGAGTTTTTCTATGTATGTGTCTACAAAAATTAAAAATATCTATTAGTTGTCTACTACCCATAACACAAGTTCTGCTTAACTTTTATCATAGGATATTATTATGAAAGTTTCTTTAATGTGATCCAGATTTAAACTTAAGTTCATTAGGCTCTAATTCCAGATTCTACCACTAGACCACTAGACACAGATACTCTTAAGTCACTCAGCAAGCCAAACGTTTACGTAAATTTTCGTTATCCAAACTTTTACGTAAATTTTACTTTCAAACTACCCTCAAATAATGAAGAATCCAAGATATGTGAGTTACTAGTTAACCCCAGCTTGATGATATTAATCAATAATTATTATATTATTAGAATAATTTGAATTATTCCATTACATATAGGCCACACATTACACATTTCAAATTTCAAATTGTTTTCAGTATGTAAATTAATTTCTCGAAACTCTCTCGAAATAGTTGCGGTCTGAACATTATACTACTTCTCAGTATAGAGATACCGTTTCACGTATAAACCCGTAATTAGGAGTAAAACGGTTGAAAATTAATGTCGTGAAATTTGTTTTGTGTTTTCTTTTGTTTTATATGTAACTATATAACCGAAATGGGAACCAAAATGACAGCCCATCCGATGAAACCCGTGATGCCTTCAAGTAATTTCTCTGCCTTACCCTATACCGAAACATAGTTTACAAAGAAGGAAACGAAAAGGAGAAACTGAGTTAACTAACTGAACGAATAGAGCGTACATATTTACGACAACATTTCGATTAAAAGTATTCTTATTTCGTTAAGGGGGGACGTAAGGTCTCTGAATAGAGAAGAATGAACACTGAAGAATACCTACATCGTAAATTTGCACACTACACACACGTCTTAATGTTTCGACATTAAAAAGAAGAAGGGTCTCATTACAACATTTTGTCCTCCATTAACAGCAGTGTGTATGTTACGAGATATCTTTTAAAAATATCGTCGTCGTTTTTAATAATTACTTTGTGCAGGCATGTAATTTCAGGATAACCCTATTAACATGCTATAACTCTTACAATACTATGATTGTATAAATTTAATATATAATTGACCAAACAATATATTGTAAAAAAGAATAAATCTTTGACATTTTACCATTGATCATTATTCATTTGGAACTATAAAACACGATATTATTGGTAGAGAATAGTATTCATTAAATTTACATTAACGGAACCATTTAAAGTCCATTAACGTAAATTAATAATGTGTGGAAATAAAATAACATGTTGTGTACATTAAATATATTTTAATTTTATATTCTTCGTATATTTAATTCGACAAATGGATATATTGATGGATATATAACAACGAGATTCTTGTATATATTTCAACATTTACAAAATAATATATACATACATTCAGTACAAGTTTGAAAAACATCATATTATTGTAGATATAATACTAAGGTTAGAATGGTCTTTTATCTTCTCTATCTATATATCTATCTCAATTGTAAGTAGCTTTGACGTAGTCTAGTGTTTTGAGTAGTCATGCTCACTAAAATGTCCAGACTTGTGGCGGCGTGGTGGGCCGGGTCATAAAATATCGAGCGCAGTGATGGCTGGATATATCTGCTCTAATCACTATGACTGATTTCCTCTTATTAATTGTTTAACCAGTTGGTTATATTATAACCACTTATATATATCTATTTAGTATTTAATATATAATTGGTGGTTTGTATTCACACACTTAAACTTAAAAATATATAATAAAATTATTTTTTCTTGCTCGTTCTTCTTGTGATGAGACAGCTTTCCGAACGAGCGGTCGATTAAAAAATGTAATGACTATTCAAAAGTGCTTCAATGTAAGTTTATTTGAATAAATGATTTTCTATTCTATTCTATTCTATTCTATAAATTATTTATATTAGCTACACATATGCCTTATATCATAGATATATTGTATGATTATTATAATATAATATATATCTGCAAATAAATATATATTTTTTTTTACTGTAATGTAAGACTGTAAATCAAACATTTATTTCATAAATATATACATTCAATATATGTATTTTAAAAAACTGTTTTAAACTGTGAAAAAAATTATGTCCCTCCTGCTGTGGAGGTCATTTTGATCATAAAACGTGCATTCGACTTATAAGGTCTTTTTTTATACATCGCTATTATAACATACATTTAAATAATATATATTTTGCTGTCCACTCGTGTAACTATAGTTTAGTAGATCTTGGATTATTAGCAACTGGTGAGATGTGAATAAGTTATTACCTTATTAATGTCTTGTTTACATATATTTATACGTGTCTATTCATTTATAGCATTAGATGCTAATTTGTTTTACTGATCTTTCTTTTATCAAATATATATTTATTATCATGGGTATGTATTACAGAATTCCAATATTAGAAGTCAAAGAAACAGATTTGCTCGCCCGAAACTTAATTTTATACATATTACATAAACAAGATATGATACATGTGTATATATATCTAACACACCCGTTGATAGCCTGTCTAATTTCGATCTGAATTGATAGTCCAATAAAATCTGCTTTTTTATTTTTTAGTTTATAAATTTTCGACTATTTTATACATTAGGTAATTTTATACATTAGTCAGGCCATATCTTTTCAGTTTTATATATAGCAACCTAACCTACGTTACTATGGAATAATGTACATTTTAAACAACTAGTATAGATGATAAATGAAGATTATAAAAAAATATGATTGATACATATTTTTTTATATATTAATGATTAAAATAATTTGTTATATGGAAATAAAATTATTGTCATATAACAAATTATTGTCTATCCATTATTGTCAGTTGAGTAATCAATTTCCCTAAGACATTTGATATCCAAAATATATCTTACTAAGTCGACATATATTCAATACTATAATAAAAAAATCACAGGATACATATCTTTCTACGTAAATACACCAATGTATTCAATATTACATTTTAATATGTCTATCTATTCCTACTATAAAACGTCTACTAATAGGTAGGTCGTACGTAGGTCTTATTATACTAGATATATATTAACTTAAAAGGAACTCAGGATTATTAGGTAGATATGTTATTGACACCACGCTATCGATGATGTTAAATACATTTAATCTAATATACCTACTGTGCATTTGATTAACATTGACTTTATGGAATTAGATCTACGTTAATCAGGTATGTAAGTACACTTATCTAAAAGGTTTAACATGTTTTTACACAGTATCTTTACTGTGCTATGCAATAGATGTAAAAATCATTTATAATTCTATATTATCTAGTATTCTTTCTCGACGACAAATGATACTGAAAATAAGAATAAAATATATATAAAGAAATTAGATCAATAGAAAGGAAATTATTAAAAAATGGTATTTTCTATCTCTATTGTTACCTTATTTATTTGATGGAAAGCTATCTTTGATCATTATTTAAATCGGTATTAAAAAAATACTACTACTTGAGATAATAAAAACTCTTTGTAGGCATAAACCGTGGTATAAACAACGTGAAGGGTGGTGCTAGTGTACTACATATTGAGAAAGAATTAATAGAAAGGGAGAGGACGACCAAAATACAGAAGGATGGATTGTGTAAACGATGATATGGATAGAAGGAGAGTATGCTCAGATATGAGGTCCGATAGGGATCAGTGGAAGATGACATTCTGCGCCGACCTCAAGTAATGCGATCAACGCAAGACAATGATGGTTGAAAAAGAATCAAATGGCTTAATAATTAATTGTAGTTTGACTAAGTATGAGTATAACAGCTTAAATTTATATACTGTCAATATAGTGCACAATTTTCTTAAAACGGTTAAAATTACATCAGGTACCGTTAACGCATGTTTAATAATAATATAAAGTTGCATTAAATAAAATAATATTCTTCTAAAATCTACTATACGCTTTTAAGTTTAAAGTACATTTCCCAAAATAAAATATTAAATTAACTCAGTACTATATTATGTCAGATATTTACAGATCTAAATAAGTGATTTTGGTGGCGGTGACGGCGGCGGCAGCGGCAAGTGCAGCAGCGACGGCAACGATGGCGGTGGTAGTTCCGGCCGCGCGGACTGCCATCCCTGCTGCCAGCGACACCAAGGGTTGCGCCACAAACACGCAGCTGCTCACTACCGCTACGTCGGTGCCGATGCCGCGCTCCACCACGATGCCTCCCGAACTGTCCCACTGTAATACATAGTTTAAATATATGTTATTTCTGTATATCTGTATAATCATATATTTGAATTATTTTGACTTATATATATGACAACATTACATTACAACGAGACATTAAGATGTCTCTTTTTTTTCTCGTACACGTATGTGTGCCTGATCAAGTGAACACATTATGTTATAACATTTTGTAGGTTTGCTGGAAAAATATCTTTTTAGATATAAGCTCGACCTTGTACATTATATTTACCTTATTACTAATATTTCTTCTATGTGAGTGTAATAAAGAATAAATAATATAAATAAATACCTATTAACACTATGTAGTCGGGCATTTTCTCGCAAAATCACGGCATAGCGCGGGTGTTTTTTTTTGCGCCAAAACAAATTTTCAGTAATATATTCAAACTTATTAAATTAACTTATTCAACTATAAATGAATAAACTCTTCATAAGGTATGACGAGTTCATTCATTTCTTGAAAATAAAGTGTTAATATCAATATAATTAGGATAAGAATGTATCAATATATGTATAATAGTATTTACATTATAAAAATTAACAATAAAAATAAACAACAAAATAATACTTATTTAAGCATGTGGCATGTTTAAATAAGTAATACAGAATAATTGTTGTAAATACCTCTACTTCTAAAAACAAAATCCAGGTAGACGTTTGGAACAAAGTTTGCATTCTATCTCATCTATTTAAGCTGGCAAACAATTTTGCTTTATGAGCTGTGTTTTGATTGAATTCTAAGATATGGTAGTTAGAATGCAATCCATAAGAGTTACCGTGGATATCATATGACAGTTTAATATGTGGTTTTGTACACGTACCGAAAAAATATATAATTAGGTATAATAAAATAAACTAAAAATGTAAGAAGAAAATCTCCGGGCCAGAAAGTCTCTCTTGAGGCTTGATGTTTGTTTTGTACTCGAATCGAACCCCGCAATCATCGGAAGATGAGGTAGAGTATTAAGTAGAGTCACATCGAGGTCGTCAATATTTATGTACAGTCGAATTCCTAACCTACATTTTAAAATCGAATGAAAAATAGGTTAAGTGTGATTTCCTCCGTACGATAAATGACGTTAAGAAATGGACACAGTAGATTAGATTAACTAATTATATAGACTACTGCATTTAGAACCTAATAATTATAATGGCGCTAAAACCAAATCTCTTTGAAGCTCTATCAAGATTCATATATCATTCTGAGAATGGCGAGCTCGTATGAATAGTATAACGTATAAGTATAGACCTTAAAGCCATGCCCTGTTATTATCCGAAGAAATATTTAGATGACAATTCATCCAAGTTGTAGGTACTAAATGAATTATTAAATTAGATTGAATCAAACCGCGACCTTTGGAAGTAAGGCGGTGTGCTAAACCGCTAGATCGAAAAATGATACTTAAAATATAATAGTAGAATAGTTAATAGTTGGGAAATATATATTCTAGGTATATTTCATAGAATTATTTAGAATTTTTCTTTATAAATAATAGATGATGTGTAATCTAAATATAATATGATAAGTAAATCTAATTATAATTTATTATTATAACTCGTAGGAATGTTTCACAGCGGACGGTAGATGATATTAGCATGTCTATTTGGCACGTATTGATGACTGCATAAGGATATCTTTAATATGCATAATTGATTTATTGCTGTAATACATAAATATGTATCATCATGGTAATCAATACGATCCCTCCCCGCAGTAGGGAATGATGATTATTGGTAATGGGAACTAGTGACCGCATTATCAGCAATATGACCCTATCAGGTCAACCTCCACACTATTTAGCCTCCAAAACATGGTAATTAATTCTTAACCTATTAATTCTAACTTAAATCTAACTCCATGTGCGACTTCCACCTCCTAAAACCACTTTTTATACTAATTATACTACCATGTTCATGATACCTAGGATTCACAAAAAATGAGGTGAAGTCTATTTTACAGCATAGCATGTCACCAAAATTGAAGAACCGAATCATCACCTCTCTAAAAACGTCTATATGCGGGTATAAAACCTGCTGGTAACAGCAGCATTAGTATGGACACTCTAGATCGCCTAGTGTGCAAGCAAATCGTCTGGGAGAAGAATAATACGTCAGCGATTTTAAAGCCGTGTATAGTGGCTTTAAATAAACGACAATCAAATCATATATTGAACACGAGCAGTGAGACTAAGACTATAATGAATTGAAGCCTAAAGTAAATAAAATTAATCTAAGCCGTAGACTGCGGTAGGCTCGTCTAGTCGTTAGTTTCGAACATACTAAGGCATGTTGTGCCAAGTGTTGCGTTTGCCACAACATCGTCAGTTAACAATGCGTCCCCTAATAACCACCCTAATACTCTCTATCTCTATCTGAAAAGTCATGACGGTATTACTGACGTAAATCTCACCATTCCGGTGGCGTGATAATGCGCGACGAGCAGGTACGGCATGGTGAAGAGTGTTGAGTACATGACGCCAGCTGTCCAACTACATAGTAGGACGGCGGCGTGAGCGCGCATCATACTTAACACCAACATACCGCAACTGTATGTACACAGCCCACCCACGTACACACGCTTCGCCCTGAAAATATCAAGTAAGAGTTTTCATAAAAGGATTGTTCATAAAGGGCACGATCATCAAATTCAAAATGTATTAAAACTGTATTGTGTAAAACTACAACTTGAAACAGAATACTTTTTAGTAATATAAATCCATTAGACAATACAGGTTGTAGTTATATGTCTAGGTAAAAGGTTTACTAAGCTGAAGTGATATTATTCAAGAAACTGAAAAATATTCCCAAAGAAATAAAGTGGAAAAATTAAAATATTTTTTATAAGTTTATACGACCTGCGCGGCAACGTTGTTACACAATCCTAGTATAGAAGAATTGCTGCATTTGCACTGTCCCCAATAACAGTGCACGCGGCACTAAATGCTTGATCAGCAATGAGCATCACGCCATATCGCGTCATGCCTATAGTTACATTTCATTTTTATATAATTATATAAAGTAGTCATTATCTGTTCTAACTTCGAACTATAAGCATTGTAATTATTATTTTATATTAATAAATCTAAATTAAGAAAAAGGTTGGATTTTTTTTACAACCTTCGGCTGTAGAATCCATAATTACGTGATAAATTTAGTTTGTTTGATAATGAATGTAGTGTACATTCAATGTACCTATACACTTGATTGTCACCTATGAAACCTTGTCCATCTATGAAAGGTTTTATACTTTGTCTTCTGATGACAGAGGTTTAGTGTCATGGCTATCGTGCCTTAATGCATAACCCTGTATTACTATATGTTAATTAACTACGTATTAATAATATTGATACAGTTCTATTTAATTTCTGTAAATTTAATTATTAATAATTCGCTTCTCAATCATTGACGTAGTAATATATTATGAAACGAACTTTGTAAGTACTCATAATCCATGTAGCATAATAATAACATTATTTTTATCGATTGGTCATTGTCGTTTATGTACCAATACGATAACCTTTAATTACAAAATTACACTGTTATTATTTTATTTTGTGTCAAGGTTTAAGGGATTTATTATTTATTATTTTAACTATTCTATACTTTCTATATTAAAATATTATATTATATTTCACGTGCAATCACACCTACACTACATTAAATTTAAATTATCTAATCATGTGGAACATCTCATAATTATCTAGTGATATAGAATATGAATTGTGTGGCGCAGAAATATTGAAAGCAATGTATTTTTACGTTTGTATTTATTACACAGCTAGAAAACTTACAACGAACATGACTAAATACTTGATAAAGAAAATATTAATCTATTGTCATCTAAGAAAATTTATTATTCTTAGATTTCATAATATAGTTATCTTTTATGAAATAAAAAATATAATATACAATAAATAATCACGGTGTTCTCCATTGTAATTTAAAATACACCTCTTTGTTACATAATCTATCAATACATAAAAGTTCATCCATTTAGTTAAGAAAAGGTAACATACAGTCAGAGAGACAGAATGATTTTGATATTTATAAAATTAGCATATTAGAACATCTATTAATTTTTAACTGCGCCAGACTACTTCAATTTCAAATATTAGGGCCACATAGCAATTTTATCGTTTTATAGCAATTTATCTAGTTCTTCCGCTGAATTTAAATAGGTTTGTAAGGCTGAAATATTGATTTTTAAATCTGTTAGAAGCCAGCTAAGTGTCAGCCGGGAAGTGACTGAAAGTCAAGGGCCGCCTGATCTCATTAGAGAGGTACTGCGAATGTAAGTAAATGTATGTAAATAGTATTGTTTACAAACACGTGAAACATTCAAGTTGAAGGGTGATATGATAACGCCAGTAAAACGATCCACTCTAGTTCATGACTCACAATAACAATAACGACATCATCATGATCATTTTTTTTATATATTACGATATTGGCAAACAAGCATATGGCTTGTTTGCCCATGCCCATCAATGGTAAACAGTTAACGTACCCTGACACACCAGGGGTGTCACGTGCACGTTGCCAACCCTTAAGAAACAATATATCCTTCTCGAAAAACCTCTGATGTAATCCTTCGAGAAAATCTCGGCAGGTTCATTCCACAATATAAGTGAACGCGATTTGAAGCTACTCTAAAACAGCACTGTCCGTGACCACTTCAGCGTGTGAGGATGAATTAATTTTTTCATATCAACCATTCAAAATCCATTGCAGGAAATTTCTTTCCCCTACACACTACCATCCTGAAGCCACCATCATCAGGATCCTTTGACACTAATTGACATATTCGCAGTTCTCTATTCTTGCAGTAGAAGATCGCTCTACTCATTTGAGTAGATATATGTAGATATTTGGCAACTACTAATATTATTAAAGGAATCTTCCACTGAGAGACAGTATAGTTAAGTAATACTTTGATTTTGATTTTGATATTTAAAAAGTATTTAATATATAATAACGGAATTGGAAACCGAGATTAACGACAAAAATTAAATTATTGTGTAATTTAATAGAACTGATAAATTATATATAAAACTTTATTGCGATAAAGGACACACACAAGGTACAATAATATAAAGAAAACGATGCAAAGTAAATACGCAACTACATTGATCATAGTTAACGATAAATACAAACAATGTATGAGTAACGTAATGAGTATGCATCGCCCATACGCAAAAATGCAGCACCTCAGTGTATTGTATGTTCAAGCAGCAAACCACTGATTTGCAAGTACTGTTCAGGGACATACGCGTCGACACTTGTAACAAGATTGCGGCATCAAACCAGCCCCACTATACTATTACTAATAGAAATAAAAATAAAAAGCAGAGATAATTAAAAGAAATGGTATAGATATAACATACAATACAATGTAATATAAATATACTTACCCAAGTCTCTTAATAAGTCTCTCGATGACAGTGGAGTAGCAAGCACATGACAGTGAGTACATAGCCATCCCCCAGCATCCGAAACGAACACCAGCCTCATACTCCCTTCGGCTCTCACTGCCAACGGGCGCCTGTAATAATTGTACATGCCAAATATTACACTGCTGCAATTTTGCTAGAAACAAATTTTATAGGTATTGGTATATTTAAATAAAATAAAATTTAAACGACACCAATTCCTTAAAATATCTAATGTACCACATCATATCATAATGTGGTAATAAGATTATATCACGGAGATATTAAAAAATATTTCTCAGGATAGAAATCTAAAATATCTATAGGTACTTATTCAATTTGACGTGTGGCAAAGATATAGAAGTAAAATCAACTAGTTTATTACCTACTATTTTTAGATTTAGGAATGATTATTAAACACACTTATTAGTTTGACAAGACAAGACCACTTTTGCTTATAGGTAAACACCAATTTTAAATACAAGATAATTTATGATGTATTTAAAAATTTGTCCAAACTGTCTTATACGACTTAATTTAATTTAATTTTAACTTCGAAATAAAGAAAGAAATTATCAATATTAAACAATGCATTCTGATATTATTATTAATTATTGATGACATTGAATTCTCAAATTTCGTGTATTAAATCAAATGTAAGACTTAAAAAGTTTCTCAGTGCATTTTAATGTTACGACTTTACTTCAGTAATGGAAAACAATCACAGCAATGTAATATTGCGACTATATTTAAAGTGTGAAACAGTTCACAATAACGTCGAATGTTATTGTAAACTGACACACTTTAAATATAAAAAAAAATGCCTACAATTGTATGCCATATATACTAATATATGGCATATACTAATATTATATCTAATAATAATAATAATAATATACTCTGGACAATTAACACGGCGCCATGTAGTCCCACGGTAAGCAGAGCTTGTGTTCTGGCTTGTGTATTTACAGACTTTTTTTTAAATATATATATAATATACATAGAAAACACCCAGACCGATACAAACAATCATACTCATGAATAGAAATGATTGCACCGTGCGATGAATCGAATCCGCGACCATCGAAAGTAAAACAGTGTGCTAAACCGCTAGATCACGGAGGCCGTCCAAATATGCCATATTATAGCTTACGGCCGTGAAGATATGTATATTATGTATGATTGATACTCACCTATTTATATTTTACTATCTGATTAAGTAGAAATTCAACAGACGCCAGTAGATACCTATACCTACTATTTTCATCCGTCTGTCGCGATGTCGCTTCCACGTAATCATAAAACCAATTGCTATCTTGTCAACTCTCAAGAGTAGATACTTACCTACTCAATCTTAATTCAATATCTATATTCTTGATTTGGTTAGACAGAATATGTCAAATTTATCTCCTAAAATATCCCTATTCATAAATATTATTATGATACGAGTAGGTATTTACTAAATAAGTAGGCCTTTGTACATCTCTTCGATATATACCTATTGTTATTACGCATATCGTAGTATTATATCTAATATTCAGTTACTCAACAAAAGAATACTAAAAATAATACAGAAATATAACATTTATATATTATGTCGTATTTATAATAATATATATATATATATATATATATATATATATATATATATATATATATATATATATATATATATATATATGAAATTATCACGTCACCATGCAATTTGTATGAAGTGTTAAAAATATTTTTAATATCCCTCTATATTTATTAGATAGAATCGTCAGTATGATGCCTAATATTCTAATTAAGTTAGAACTAGAATATTGAATTAGAATATTATAAATCAATTAGAATACAGCTTGTTAATAAACCTCTCTTTCATGTTTTACAATTTTGCGACATACAATTTTTGAATTATTATTTTTTTGATAAGTAACTGGCATTATTCACCCTTCATTGATCATGTTTATTCTGTCCTTTTTTATTACGTTAAAGATTGAACTATTACTCGGTGCAACAACGACCTGCGGTAGCACTTAAACTATCAATTTCAATTGCAGCACTAAAAAGATTCATTATGTGCGCCCTGCCTGGGCCCATCTTGGGCAAGAATTGTACATGTAATCTATCTTTACTACATGACAACCAAGTGTAAGTAATTATAAATTGATTCAATCCAAAAATTTACGGAAATAAAAATTATTTCAAATGTAAAATATGTCATATGTCTTCTCTTCGATTGTCTTTTAAGTGATTGAAGTACGGAACAGAACACTTAATAACAACATGAATAATGTTCCTGTTATTTTACAATACGCGAAATAAATCAATTCGACACAATATAAAATTGCGTCTTATTTTTCGTTACATATTTATTAAAATTGACATTTCTACAATGGAATAAAGGAAGTTTATTCATATGTGGAGACGTATTTTCAAGGGAACATATAATCGTCTACTTTTACTGAATAATTTAATCAAATTATATTAATGAGCAGTAAAATTTAAATTAATGGACCTATTAATTTAATTACTATGATCAAATTCTGAGAAAATGAAGATCTTATATGAATAAACCCGCGGTAGACTAAAAAAATTGTGTGTGTAGGTAACTCAATGTTACATATTTCAGACATCAGGCAGGTTACTTTGTAACATGTTTCGATTATGGGATTAGGCAGTGAAACAGGATAAGGGGCATGACATCTTAGTCCTTTGGAATAGTAACGCGTGAATTGTTTTAATGCGCCGTCATTACGCGGTACATAAAACAATTCACGCGTTGTTATTAAGTTGGTACTCTCATAATAACGTGATATCCATAATTCTGTTCATATATAAAGGCGATGGTTGCCATTGATCATCAGATTGGTTAGCTGTTTGCTGTCCACACACAAAAAGAATAAGAAATTGCGCTATTATGACTGATATACTCACACGAAAATCATCACAATAACGGATTTGTTTACAATGTATATTGGCACCGAAAGCATGACTGAAAAATATCGTTGAATAATATATAGGAAAAATAACGACTTACCGCGGGATCACCGCCAAATACAGCTTCTCCAACGAAATCGGTGAAGTAGAGTGAATAGCAGACGTGAGCCATCCAGCAAAACAGGTTGGTTAGGCACACAATGCGTAGAGAATTCGGCATCAGCACGATCGATTTTAGATAGTGTCGAAGTGACAGCGCCTTTCCTCCATGGGTACTCTCGTTGTCGTTCACTCCCATGGTCTGGTACATAAAAACAAGTGTATTTACACGTTGTTCAATTTCACTGATAAATTAATAATATTTTTTATGAAAATAATTGATTTATTTATTTTATGTATTACATGTATTGTTATTATATGTATTATCTTATTGGAATAAAAAACCAATTGGCCATCTTATGGTAAGTGGTTTATAGGTATGTATATATTCAGATATATGGTAAATCAAATTTTCAATCTGTTAAAAATTATTAAACAACATATTTTAAAATTATTTAAACTAAAATCTCACTGATTTTATAATAATATCTATGGGTACATATATTCAGTAAGGAACTATTCATAAAATAATCACTTAACAATCATTAAAGATTTCATATAAATGCCATTAAATGATATTTTTTTATCCTAAATTTCTAAAGTTAAATTAAATTTATAATTTTTATGTCCCTAAAGTTTCTATCACTAAAAACTAAACAATGAAGCAAACTTGATCATGATCTGTTTTAAAGTCTGTTAATTTAAATAGCATTGTTTACAATATCTTACCTCTTGACGATTGAAAGATCCATACATGGTATTGTCCTTCTTTAAATTGTTTATCTCAATACCGGGCTCTTCTGCGTCAAAGCTCTCTTGGTTGCGTTCTGTCTGCGCTAACTTTCTGAACTCATCTTGTTCGTTCAACTGATCCAACGGGATTTCTTTAAAACTGGTCACTGTCGCCGTCACACACACTAGGAAGATGATTGTAATAAGAGAAAACACTGCCCTCACATGTCCACCAAATAGTTCTCCTGTAATTCAGATGCAAAATATAGATGACATATCAAAAATTTGAATAATTTTTACACCAATGTCATAGCTGGTTATATTTTAATACTGAAAATTCTTGGATTTATTTTTTTATAGATTAGGACCGTACCTACAATTCATGATTTGACATATCGTCCCACGATATGCCCAGCCTCTAAAAATGTTTCTATTTGTAAAAGGATGATATAATAACTACAGCACCATTGGATACAGCATAAGATTATATTTCTACTCTAGTATTTAAACCAAGTCTGCAAATGACATTAATACAATTTTCTCCATATAAGAAAAAAAAGAAAACAAATATACCTAATCTGGTTTCATCCCAGTTAATCCCGCCTAGAGCGTAACCCATAAAACCTCCAAGACCAGCCATCACCGTGAATGTACTCAACCCTTTTGCATGATCCTCTGTAAATAAAATACGCTACTATTAAATAAACTGTAAAATAGTATAATGTGCAGGAAAAAATACAGGATAGTTCGGAAGGATGCTGGATAGATTCGAACAGAATCGCATGGTGGTTGTGTATCACTATTTTCGTTTAGCGTACCTGACTATTTAATTCATATTGCTCGACTCCTAATAGTCATAACAATATGAATAAGGGTATCCTAAGAACTTTCTTTACAACTCAAGCTATAAAATAAAAATGGGTCTTTTTGTAGTTCCAAGTTTGACTGATAGGTCCAAGTTAATACCATCAAACTTTTCAATTTCCTCTTTATTTAGACTAATGTATATAATAATATATTTTAGTCTAAATAAAGAGCAAATAATTAATAAAATAGTAATAATAAAATTGACCTATGTGTACACAGCAAAATAATATTAAGAGTGTTTATTAAAATATCCCGACCGACGTGTCAAAACTGTAATCCCAACTCAGTAGACATCACGATAAGGCAAGCTAGTGTTTATGTAAGTATTAAGTGGTATTTGAAGAGTCGTGGCCGAGCAAATAATGCTTATGTGAATATTAAAAGGATAAGGTATAAAATGTATGTGCCTAATTTCTACATTTTGTGAAAATGTGAAGAGTAAATAACAAGTTTCTTCGCACAATTGGTCAAATTCGTCTTATCGTATTTAAGAAAATTATGTATTTAATAATTTTTAAATATCTACAATGTATATTGATTGCCAAATTGAAGAGGAAACGCCACTACACATCTAATATGGTTGTAGCCCACTCATACATAAACATAATATCTCCTTTGGAAAGTTGACTCTATATCCTGAGGAAATACAAATCATCGCTCCTAAGAATATCCTTCAATTCTAGGTGCTCTGAAAAAGAGCGAGCATCTATGAAGGTCGCAGTGCTACAGGTCCAAGCACCTGACAAGAACCCGAACCCCCAAAAAAAATTGTTACATACCGTAAATCAACTTTTTATGTTGGCCATCATTATGTCTCTAACTCCCTACAAAGACATTATACCTACATATACATTGTACGAAAAAAACAATAAGCCACTAAAATTTTTGCTTTAACTTTTTGCGGTAAACTCTAAACTACTAGATATCATACCTGATGTTTGTGGAAACTCAAAATAAATGTTGATATCGAGATAAAGTCAATCACGGTCAGACGGTTGATAAAGCTTGTTGTTCGTTCGTCACTATGAACATAACTAACGTATATTCAAGTCACATGCTTTTTACGTTTACACATAACTACAAATATTTAATTAAAATAATTAATAAACTAGGTTAAGGATCTACAGAAACAGTAGCTGCTATGAATGATATGTAAATAAATACGTACGGTAGAGATTAAATTAAAAAATAAGATGTATTTGAGCTATTAAAGTCATCTATACACTTAAAACAAAGTCCCCCGCGATAGTTGGCGATAATAAAAATAAACAAATACTACTGAACGGTGTTTTTTTAAATAATAACCATGGATTTAGCCATTTGACAGTACGCCATCTAGCCCCAAGCTAAGTAGAACTCTTGTTATGAGTACTAGATAACAGATAGAAATACTTACATACATTTGTTTTATAAATACATAGTAAAGATACCAATATAAACCATCGTAATTAATATAAAGGTGGGTACTCTACGAGGAATTAAATCCGCGATCATCAATAGTACCGGTGTACTAAACAGCAAGACCAGCGAGGCTGTCAAGCAATAATCATCGAGCAACAGAGCTTCCATGAAAGATTTAAATGTATACCGTCGGTAATGTTTTGAGCAAATTATTTGTAGTACTTATGAATTGCTGAAATGGAACGCTAGTATTAAAAAATAGATTCAAAGTTCATTAAACGGCATTGTCATTTAAAAAATACAAAGAGCTATAATTTACACATGACACTTTTATTGGGACGATAAACGGAAACATCTCATTTCTGTAATAACTTATTGCATTATATTTTATCGCAATTCAAAACGTTCCACTTGTTCCGCTGTCTGTAAAATGAGAAAATCATTCATAATGCGAAAATCCATGAATTAGTCCTTTTAGTCATATAGGAACATACATATTTTTTTTGTATAATTGAATATCTCATAAACTAGTGTCCCACCTGATGGAAAGTGGTAACCGTCGGCGTCGATTACATACACAAAGAACCCTACGGACATCCATAGTACGGTTCATGTGTTGCAATTCTGGAGGACTAAAAGGTCATGCCTCTATCTTGTAATTCGATAATACATAATAACTAGCAAATGACCATCCCCGTGATATATTTTATCTTAACGTACAGCTTTGTTGCGGAAATATAACAAAGACACCGACACTGTTCATTCAAAATATTGCAAAAATTTAGAACTGTCTCTGCAAAAAAATGGCCAGAATGTACCTGATTATTATTGAGACAAAAATAGAGATCATTATCCTGTACATAATCTAATATGTAATATACAATTATTATGTCACAGTGTTTGTAACAAAACATCTTTGAAACCGCTCAACCAATTCTTATTAAACTTTATGTATATATTGAGTAAGTCTGAGAAAAGGTCATAAACTAATTTTTACATACTTTTATTATTATTTTTATGATTCGACATTTAAAATACATACAACCCCAAATTTTCGCCATTCACTATTGACCACTATTTTTTAATAGCGATATTAATTTATATGGCAAAATAACGTTAGTCGCGTCAGCTAGTATTAATATACAAATAGACAATTGTTTCAATTACATAATAGTAATATGTACTATACAGTGAAATATTCACAATTCCGATTATATTATTACTAGACAAACTAATTAATCATGGATGCGAAGAAGTACACAAATATTTACTTAATATTGTACATAACAGTAGCTACCATTGAGCTATGAATGTAATCTATTCTTGTTTTCTTCTATTTAATCATAAATAAGTGTTCTATTTTAAGATCCAGTTTCATTCAAGTACTCAAACTTCTAACAATAAATATAATAAAGATAACGACACCTACACAGTTCGAACACTTCACACTGTTTACGATGTACACCGCCATATTTCTTGTTAACATTAGATAGCAGTGATACATATTAATGGAAATGTTGTATGCGTGGCGCGCAGCGCGCGCCAGGAAGTTGTCAAATCCCAATTCACTGACATTAATAAATTTGAAATTGGAATATTTTAACAAATGAATGTCATAATTAAAAATTCCGATATAGTCTGCAGTTTAGCAATAGGAAAGGTAAAGGATCTGTTCCCATAGAGCTTCAATTGTTGTTATACAATCTTGTGTCATTTATAGAATGTTTTTTTATGAAACTGTACAACATTTTTTTAGCACGGTACAGTTTGCCTCTAACTGTTTATATATATTCATTTTAAAGGTTTTGTCCCCATTTTAATTAAATTGTGTATTTCAATTCAATTTCAAATAAAGGATCTGTTCCACTGACCATAGCTGGCAAATATGAAAAAGTCTACGCAAAAATGCAAAGCTACAGCAGAAAGAGAGAGAGCAGCAAGAGAACGATAATAAGAGGTACACATAAATGGAACAAAAATTCATTTTCTGCATTAAATGACATTTTCATCCTAAAATACGTTACATTATATAATGTACCTATCCTCTAAAAAATAACTATCCTTCAGTAGTCGGGTAAAACAATATCGTCCGATAAGCCGCACATGACTGGTCTACGACTGTGACCTAGAAACGCTAAACACCAGAGACCCCCCATCTTCATAGAATTAGTTGTTTGTAATGATAATTGATAGCACTTGAAATATAAGATAGTCAAAGGCATTGTCAACTGTTGATGCTGTGATTAACACTTGAAATGTGCGATTGAAATAGGGTATACACATTTTTCAGGGTATATTGAAGTCCAACGTGACGGGGTGAGACTACCACTTACTTCACCATAGAAATACATAAATAAATATTTTACATCAAGGTAGATATTGTATAAAGACTTCTCTGTGGGTATCTCAGTCTCAGGCTCCAAGTAGTTAGCTTTTTAAAATGTTTCGGTTGAAAGGTTTAAGAAGAAAATTTCAAGTTAAGAGGCATACCATCTTTGTCCTGGGGTGAAAACATATGACTTGCAAACCGAGTGTCACATGATAATAGTACGTGATGTCTCTAGTTGTGTTTATGTATGCACAGTTACCAGTTACTATCATTCGAAGTTTGCCATTCCATGACATAAATAATAATAACTGACCTGGTACTGTCACGTCAAGAAGATAAGCACGTGCTGGACTTTGACATGCATCTGCGTCAAAATCTAAGAACACGGTGCCAAGGACGGTGAATAATACGCCCCATGGGTGATAATTTGATCCCTCGTTCTGCAGCGCTGAACTTCTTGGTCCCAACGCTGAGGGTACCTCAGTATGGTTGGCTGGGCGCTCATCACCAAGTGCATAGCCTATTGCTTCACCATTTGGCACTAAAATAAGACCTGAAATTCGAAATTATGTAACAGGAAGGTTTCTTTTGTTAATTTACATACAGTATGTCAGAATCTATAAAAATCAAATCATTTATTTAAAATAAATTAAATTAAAAATGGTGTACGATATACACGATATATAAAAAATAATATCGATACAAAGTATGGTTGGTAGATAAAAATATACAATTAAATATGAATCAGAAATATTTAATTGGCTATTGCGGCTTTAGTTTAAATTTTGAAAATAAAAGATAAGTATAAATATAGAAATTAATATTTTTCACGTACAATTTATTGCTATATTGTAAAATTTAACTATTGTTTTGAATAAGTAATAATACTTATCAAAATTACATAAAAAAGCAGACGAACCTGTCTGTAATGTACTTAAAGAAAATTAATATTTTATTTTGTAGTGGTCTAATAAAAACAGAAATTAATTCTTTAAATCTCTGTAACTCAACTTACATTAAATGTAGTTTCCACTACACAAAAATTACCTAATAATACTCCAAAAGACATAAGAATGATGAACGGCCGTCGTCTTCCGAACCTCGATTTGCATCGGTCACTCAATGAGCCCAAGAGTGGAGTCATAAAGAACCCGATGAGTGGTGACAACGCCCATACCATTGTCATCTGATGATGCGGCACACCAATTTGAAGCAATGTTGGTGACACGAAAGCAGTCTCGCCGGCGTATGAAAATTCTATACCCATCACTGCTGCCGATATTCGCATCAGCTCTATGCGGCTTTTTCTCCTAATTTAAATAATACATATTGATTAGTTAAGAGTTTTTTTAAAGTATTATATATAAATAAGTGAAACCGATAATATAATGAGGAAAGATTTTACTTGTCTGTAAAGTACAAATCCATAAAATACTTATTCGGTATTATACATTATATTGTTACAAATTAAAATTACAATAATATAACCCAATTCAGAAATGTTTCTCTTTATTATAAAAGCGAAATTTTGAGAGTCAAGTTGGATAGACGGATAGATGTTTGTTTGTTTACTCTTTCCCACTAAAACTAGTGAACAGTATTCATGAAACCTTACAGTAATTTAACTTATGCATCACAATAAACATACTATAAATTTCACACGGGTAAAACCACGGGAACAGTTATTCTGCATATAAGATATATTATTCGTTATGTGATACTTGAACTTCAGTTAAACAAATAATTTGATATTTCCAACATACTTTCACTAGCGTGTTTCTAGAAACTTTAAAAAATAAATAGTGAAACTTATCATTTTTAGCATTGTTATTTTAGTTTTTATTCATCCAAAATAAACAAACTTATTTGCTATCGAGTTTATTTTAGTTATGCTGTCTAAGTTGAGTCTTTGAGACTTAATTTTACGGGATAGACAGAGAAAGATAAAGGACATGTGTCTCTCCTATAATCCCAAGTAAATATTCTTACTTAACCGCAATTATACGTTTAACTTAAAATTGTAATTAACACGTAGGTTTACTAAGAATATAATATACGTGTCGTCACTCAATCAACATATTGTAAATTTAATTAATGCTAACACATCACACACTCATGATTTCATGATTCACGGTAAATCGTTATATATTCGTATCTCGTTTGACTAATTTTACGTCAGACGATATTTTCTTAATTAAAAAAAAACATAGTAATAACTTCAAGACTGTAATCCCAGATGGGGTAATCAGTGGCATAGCCAACTGTCGACGTCGTGGTGACCACAATACGGGACATACCCACATTTCTGGATATATTTTAATAAAATATTGGCAGTGATCTAGCGGTTTACTATATCACCTTACTTCCGATAGTCATGGGTTGGATTCCTCTCACAGTACAAACATTCGTATTGATGAGTATGATTGTTTGTATTGGTCTGGGAATTGCTTATCGAAATTATGTATGTATTATTATTTTATTGCAACATGATAGTGGGCGAGCTTATTGTTGTATATCCGAGTAATTTGGTCAAGTTGAAACACATTTTTTTAATTTCGGTAAGATTTGAACTTATGATATTTTAGTGTAAGACTTACCCGTCTCACACAGAAAGGTCATGAGTTAAAATCATTCTAAAAACTATTGACTTATATTTGCAATGTTATAAAGAAGTGACAACGAGAAGTGAATTGATCTACGAGATTCGCTAAATTAATAATCAATTAATTTAGAAACGAATGTTCTTCTAATATCTCTACAATTTTGAATATCCATAAACTGGCTCTTTTTGCAGATTATCAATAGCTAATCTTCTAGGATGACGTAAACACAAATTGTTTGCGAATTATGAATCAGCAAAAGTGACCAATTTAGGCCAAGGTTGCTTTTAATCCTTTTTAAACTTTATTTATAAACATTCTCGAATTTTGTCTATTACATATATTCTTTTATATGTATAAAAAAGATACGTCATCGGTGTTATACTAGGTAAACTCCAGAACTACTAAACAAATTATCATGAAATTTAGGTCATTGTGTGCAATTTGTTTCAACTTAAAAGACACGATAGTATTTAACCCTTAAGTCAATCTCAATACATTTTATATCAAATATAATTTTAATAATTATCAACTTTATAAATTAGTTAAGTTTATATATACATCATATAATTATAAACAGAAATTCAACTAAATCAATTTATATACTACTTAAAAAACGTATAATTTACCTGAACAGATCTTTGTATTCGCTATCCTGCCAGACTCTTTCTGGAGTCTCCTCAGAACTAGGTATTCCAAACAACGTTTCTCTTATTACATCTTTTACACCTTGAGGATGCTGTTCTTTCCACTGACTCCATCTTTCCTTGTACCTGTCCCTGGCACTGTGCAGCCGCCCTGTAAAACCTTGGTACTCGTGTAATTTCTCAGCCATTGCAAATTTATATTATATTCACTATGATAATAATATATCCAACAAATAATATAACAGAACGCATCTTCTACTGCAACAGTTTGCATAAGATTTAAGTTCACATCCAACTTTGTCACATTTTGCACTCGCTTCTTAAGTAGTTAAAAATAACGATGTTACTTCGAGGAGTTGCGGACGTATTTCTTAATAGTGTTTGCGAAGTGGATGCTAACGTTTTCTGGTTGAAAGTCCACTGTGGGCAGTTCAGAGGGAGCGCGCCAACGGACTGGAGCGCGCGCGCCGCCCTGTCGCCCTCACGCGCCCACCGAGTCGCGCTACGCCCGCCCTATGAAATGACCGTCACCGACATAGTTCACTAGAAGTAACAATTGTTTGTACTTAAATTCAGAATTTACAGGGTCAGAAGTAGCTTTTCAAAAAATAAATTTCAATAATCATAAAATCTCTCTTTTTATTTATTAATTCTCTAAATTAATAACTAGAAATACGGTGTTACAGGCGAACGACCCGATTTAATCTAATTTTGTTATGGTTATTAATAATAATAACCCTAAATAATTCACACAACGTCATCTATAGTCCCATACTAAGCGGAGGTTTTGTTGTGGGTACTAGACAACAGATATAAATGCTTGAAGACATAGAAAACACCGAAACCGATACCAACAATCATACTTATGAATACAAATGTTTACACTGTGCAAAAAATCGAACCCGTAGCTATTAGAAGTCAGAAGGTGTGCTAAACCGCTACTATTATACATAGAGCATTGGCGACGGCACAAATACCGGCAGTACTAGAGCCTAGTGGCATTGTCATACGTGTGTGGATGTATTGGCACCAAGATGTGTCACCAACGGGGGCGTCCACATTATAACATTAGTTCGGAATATAACATGCTTTACAACATTGCAATTTTAATATTTAGTGAGAAGGTGTACTAATAAATATGTTGTAATTTAAGTATGTATGAATTAACAATATTTTATAATATTATAAATTAACAATACTAGAATATTGAAAATGAATATAATATATATAAAAAACAATTTTTATTTAAAACTATTTCAAACTGCAGCTAGAGAACATCCTGTGGCTGTGTCAGATGAACCGACGAACGAATAAACAAATTCGCACTCTTAGTTAGATATTCTGTTTAATCTTTTCGAATTGAAATCCAATAAATAAAGTTCACCAATAAGGAAAACAAATACAATGAATATTTCGAAGGCATTTCTATTGTAATACTCACTATGTCTCCTTGGCCCCGTCTCGGGGATTACGCTTATTGCGTCCCGGGAGTCGACGACTGATTGTTTCCCCCGGTATATAAACAGAACTGATTGTGAGTTCTCTTTCAACATATACATTATTTAAAGAGGACTGTTATCTATTGAATTCTGTTCATCTTATTGCTTTCACGACTTTTCTACGACGATCAAATCCGAAGTAACAATCATTTCATTTATCGAACGAATCAATTTGTACCGCGATATCTTTTGCGGATTTGTATTTTATTTGAATATATTTCCTAAACGCCTATATCACGGACATAGGGTAAAGCCCTTTTTATATAATATCTTCTTTATATAATAAATTGCTATCTTCTATAAAAGAAGAATCAAAAATAAATTTATGATAACAATTACCAGTTTCAGATTTTTTCCTTTATATTCACCTAATTACCTATCTGCTACCAAATTTGAACTTCCTAGGTCATCTGGAAGTGGGTTATAATTTTGATCTATAGTTGATTGATAAAAAACGAGACATTAATATCTTGTTTGAATATGCTTTCAATATATGAACCAAATTTGACAGGTTTGTGTGAAAGAGTTTTTGAGTTATGAGGGGGTCAAAAGTGGCTCCAAATGGTTCGTGTAAATAACGGTGCTATTTAGAAAATACTATTTATATTGCCATATTATATAATACTAGCATTGGACCGTATGATGATGAACAAAATGAAAGTAGCATATGATAATAACATACATACGAGTAGGATATAAATACCTGTAATGTATACTTAAAAGTATTTTAGATAATTTTTAATTGATTAATATTTAATCTACAATATTATCACAAGGGGGATATCAAATACTAAAACGGAAATGTCGTTACAATATAGGATATACTTTAGCGTTTTGTAAACATAAATATTATGTAAGTAGGTATATTTTGTATACCTATAATAAATTTCAAGTTCAGAGATGTATTTTATCTTGTTACTTATGACAACTGTCTGCCTTTATCATGCTTTTGATATGTACCTAAAAAGCAAGCTAGTAGCAACGCAAATAATCTATACTTTGCCTCTTACAACATTGGGCGTTCTAAAAACCTAAAAATATCTACTGAATTCATTTCTATTATATTTGATAATTTTAACTAAAAGTAAAAATTTTATTAAAGTACATTTTAATTACTTTGTTTAAACAACGCTCTTTAAAAATTAAAAATAATAACCCAGGATAATTTACACTGCGCCATATAATCCTAAGCTAAGTAGAGCTTGTGTTAAGTGTACTAAACAACTGATAGCCTGAACAACTTCTGGCTCATTCTTCTTTTGACGAGTCTGTTCCGAATAAGTGATTGAATGAAAAAAATAAGGCTATTCATAAGTGCTTATATGAAGTTTATTGAATTTATTATTTATTTTTCATAAATGCAAAAGTAACATTGTAAAACTGTGCAAGCAATTGAACTCGCAACCTTCGGAAGTAAAGCGATGTACCGTATCACAAAACCCACGAGACCGTCGTATCAACATATCCTTAATGAAATATGTATATTAATAATAAACGATTTATGTATAAAACGTAGAAAAAAATCACATGAACATAACGATTTGTGAATTTTTTCACACAAACTTTCATTCACCTACATGTTTTATTTTCGTAACAAAAGTAGCCTGTACCGCGAGCAAATGTGACATATGTATTTCTTTATACCTTTATAATATAATTATATAATTTATAATATAATATAGTTCAGTAACAAACAAACAGACAATTACGCAGTTACAGTTAGACTACGAGTAGATGGGGATATGTAAAGTGTCAATAACTTGACATATTATCTATTTTTTTATTAATTTATATACTATTCTAATCTCTAATATTCTAATATACGTCTACTACTCGTATTAAGCTAATTCGACGAAACTCGACTGCTAATAAATGCTTTTGAATTTCAATGGATTACTCTTTTGTTCGTAGCCATTTTAATCAACCAGTAACCTAATATTGTATACTCCATTAAATTGCAACTAGTAGTGTTCTAATCAGCATTATTAATTATTACTATCTTTGATTATTATAATATTATATACTGGTTCAACAATACAAAGAAAAGCTGAATTAACGTACAAGTACCTACATTATCAAATAATTTCAAGTGGCTTCCTGGTGTATAGATTCTACTTTGCGTACTATGTATAAATTCCGTAGTTGCTTTCAAGAGTTCTATGAAATCAATATAAGTACGTAAGTATTATTATGTATATTACATAGTAGGTATTGTCTTACAAATTTATTTGTTTGAACTCGCACAAAAGAGCTCACTTCTATACGTAAGTACAGAGTTACTTAAAGGAGATTAATACTAGTGTATTGTAATTTAAACACAATACGAGTAAGGCTGTCAGGGACACGATCCACTACAGGTTCGATTCCTGTTAATGCATGACTTGCTGGATCATGCATTAACGACATTGCTAATGTTTATGCCCCGTCTCTCACGTGAGGAAAAATAATTTTAATTAATGGAGACATATGTTAGTTTTTTAGAAGTTTTGTATATAGTAATTTTCTACTAATTTACTAATTAATAAGCCTTTGCTAAATATAATATTTATTATTTATTTAGGTATAGCCTTTATATAATATTTATTACTACCATTAATATTATATATATTACCATCTTCGCTAAATATATGTAGGTATAGTTTTTTTAATCGTCTAATTCATTAAAACTTTTTGATTCAGTTTATATTCTGGGAAAGATATAAATAGATAATAATATGACTATTATCATAGATTTGACAGTCAGATGTATAGCTAGTCGACGTCGTATTGAACTTGAAAATGTGATATATTTAAATATATTAAATCGAATTATGTGTTATTTTGCGGAAGTCCATTTCACTACTCGATGGATTTATATTATTAAAATATATATATAAATATAATGTCGCTTGCGACCATCTCTCGGATAATTTTTGATTTGTTATCGGAGTTTCCATCATTGAAGAGTCAAATTAAAATATAAATTAACAATCAGAGATTTTTATGTCGGCCTGAATCTAATTTACGACCTAGTATTCAAATAGTACCTACTTAAATATATAGATGACGAATCTCGCACTCTCTTTTGGAATTATATTAAATACTTTATTATAAATAATGTATTGTATGTATTCTATATTTTTGTGAATCACATTAAAATTACTGTTTTCTTCAGTTATCACGATCAAAGTGAACGACAAAATTCGGAGATTTAGGTTTCACATTTATTATAGTATAAAAATACGGAGAACATAATTATAATACAGAATATTCTATTTCCTACATGCCATACTTCAAAAGAACAAACAGTTTTTTTCTCATTATGCGTACCACAGATCAACAGACAAGAAACCTGCCTGTTGAATCAATCAATTTTCTTCGGAATTAATTTATTTGACATTGATTTCAGTAAATAATTTGTTACTTCATTTATAAAAAGGTATAGGTATAAGATTTGTTAAATTTTTTTGATTGATAATTTTAATGCAATGCATCATTGTCTCCTGCCGCGTTAGATTCTATTATAATATTGTCAGCAAAATGTGGACATGTCAAGTGTTGCGTTCAACACAACATTGACAGTTGATAATGCCTCTGATTTTTTGGAATTGGGAATTATAGTCGCCAGACTAAGTGTATAAATATTTATTCTGTATGTATCTTTTTAATTTATTAATATTGAACAACAATTTGGAAAATTATATTTATTT